GAAACGAACCGCTGGAAATAGAAATGGGAGGTGGATGGCCACCGCAAAACGAATAAATTTCCACGCGCCCAGATGGATGCGCCTCAATGGCCCCAGACAGAAGGCCAATGGCGGGGGATTGCCTGGGGGGGGGGGTCTACCGCTTCAAGAAGAGTAAAAACATCTGACCCCCGATTGAAGTTGTGTGTTTCTTGTCTCCGCCACCCATATGTCCCATACTGCGACTCCCATATTCGATCATTCGGTGCTGTCGTCTGCGAGATAGGCTCCCATCCTGGAGATGGTCGAGGGTTCTGACAGTTGAATTGCCTACAGAGCGCACACCCCCGGGGGTGACAAGCAGTTATAGTGTCTGTGCCATTGAGGTATGAGGTGGTTAGGAATTGGTTTATATTATTCGGCTTATTCTTGTCAGGCCACGATTATAGGTATCACGGAGCATTACAGTTTTTTTTTTCTCAGAGAATGAGTTTTTCCAGTGTTCGTCGAAACCTGTGTTGGCCCCGTGGCCGCTCGTTACACAAAAATGGGTATCAGCTGCTCCGCCCCCGGCCAGCACCTCCACCGACCGCCTCAGGTAAATTCACAATTCCTTTGCCCCCGGCAGCACATGGCACCTATCGCGATTGCACAATTACCACTCCAGCCTTTTTGCTCTTTTTTTCTCTAGGCTCCACTGCTCGGACCGTGCTTCAATGTATATAACACATTGCGCCGAGATGTAGGCGGGGCCCATGAATGACACATGCTCTGTCTATTTAAGAACCTCCCTCTGGCCCGCGTGTTGGAAGATCTAGTTGATAGTTACAAAGAACTAAAAACCTCATCTCTGTGCCCGGCCTCTTGCTCTGGCCCGGCACCAAGTAAAGAGATTCTACCATCATGTCTGCCAATAGCCGAGCCGTCGCTCGGCTAGCTCAGACACAAAAGATCCCCCTCCTCCCTATCCAATTAGCCGTAATAGAGGCTACACAGGATATCTGGAGGATGGTGGGGGAAGAGCATCGTGAAAACTTCGTGGTAATCGGGGGGGCTGCTCTACTTCTCCACGGCTCCTCCATTCGAACGGAAGATGTCGATATCGCAATCACAGGCGATTCCTTGAGCAAGTTTGAAGAACTAGCCAAGGAGGATAACCAGTTTTCCCAGACCGTCATGGGTGCGTGGGAGTATAAGTCATGGCGCAGCTTCAGCGTTCAGATAGATTTCCTCGATAAGCTAGGGAAAGGGGGATATACGCATGAGTTCAAAGCGTATTCGGTCATTGACGGCATTCCCGTGGCCACGCTGGCCGACCTGGCGCTCAGTAAGGGAGCATCCTGGGTGGAGCGTGAAAAAGCCAAAGATCTTGTTGGTTTTGAATATGTGGTGTCGAAGATGGACTGCGAGGGATTGGATTTTAGGGGATTGGAGGGGGAGGAAAAGAAGATTCTAGATAGTATTAAGGTTGAGCTTGAAGTGAAAGGGCGGAGTAGATTGTTAACGGTTGTTGAAATTCTATCATAGAGTGGGGTGAAGGTGATTTCATAGTTCCTCAGTAGCTAGGGACTCGATTTCTGGGGATTGGATGGGGAGAAAAGGATCATTCTGGGTGGTATTATGGCAAAGTCCCAACAGGTCGAAAAGGGGAGTGGATTGTCTAAGGTTATCAGAATGCTATTATATAGTGGGTTGAAGGTTATTTCATTGTTCCTCAGTAGCTAGGGATTGGATTTCAGGGAATTTGATGGAGATGAAAGGAAGATTCTGGGTGGTATTATGACGAAGCCCCAAGAGTTGGAAAAGGGGAGTCGGTTTTTTGGGGTTATCAGAATGCTTTTATGGAGTGGGGCGAAAGGGACTTCATTGTTTCTCAGCGGCTAGGAATTGGATTCCTGGGAATTGTATGGGGAGGAACGGAAGATTCTGGGTCGCATTATGGCGAAGCTCCAACAGGTGGATAGGGGGAGTAGGTTGTTTGGGATTATCAGAATGCTAGCATAGAGTGGGGTGAAAGTTATTTCATAATTCCTCAGTAGCTATACGCTCTACATGAAATTTGTTAACGAGAGTTGAATTACTACTATTTCTTTGTCTTCCTTACTCTCATAAAACAAGGTGAGTAGAAAAGACAACAATAAGTTAGTTGGCATCCAACATAATGAATATAACCCAGCCCCTGCTATATCCACTCTATCAGAGTAAAGAAAGGCCAGTATGAAAAACATCCTTCATCAATCGCCAAACTCAATAAAAGAGACCGCCACGGGCGCTAACCAAAAGAACCGCTCCAAAAACATAGAGAAGTGTCGACAATCGCTATCGGCGAAAAAGAACCCTCCGTACCAGTACTGTCAGCTGATAACCATCCGATACAATCTCACAACAGTGGTGTCCAAAATTGAACCTGCAGATCGGGCTTTGAATTCGCAGCACCATGGCGTTTCTCCCGTTTCCCCCGCCTCTCCATAATCCTCCTCATCCTTCCCTCCTGGCGCAGCGACGGCTCGACAGAATATTGGGTGCTCGGAGCCCCCGACTCCCAACAGCAGCTCACCCGACTAGTGGAACGAGCCGAGGACCAAATATCCTGCGGCATAGTCCATGCCCAGTTGAGGTATACGACTTGAATCATCCCCCATGTAGCTCCGGCCCCCCATGCAATCCAGGCACGAGTGCAGAAATTCCGAGATACTTGGTATGAAGGTGGGAAATGAGACCGGCTCTCCCCACACGAATCTGATGCCCTCACCTGTAAGCATAAAGGGCCTGGCTCTCCGATCTGTGGGGTTCGGATAAAATTCTGTCTCCACAAACATGGGGTTGAGATTAACGGGATGTGGGGCTTGAATCTTCCCAGTGTCAACCACAAAGGCAGTGGGTGCCCCACTACCAAGGGAAATATACCACTCTTTATCGCACCTCTTCAATCGCTGGACGGAGCGACACTCCCTACGCTCAGACTTCGTCGCCAAACCTGGAATGCTTGAACCACCGACCTCCAGCCATCCGCCGTAACGCATCTGTTCCGACCACAACAAAGGGGTGATCACGGTCGCTTAGGGCGGCGAAAACGCTCCCTCAAGGAAAAGCGCACCCCGTGAGCAAGCTTGCAGCATCTGAGCTGTGAAATATCTGCGCCGCGGGTGACCATGGTAGAACTAGTGAGTCTTCGATGGGGTGGCGGTGATGCTGGTTACGATGTTGGGCGGTTGCAAGCAACAGAGGGGGGTGCACCTCAAGCTTTATATAGGGATGTGAAGCAAAATTTTAGTGACTCATGGCAACGACCCTGACCCCCCCTGGCGCACTGGGGGCCTGATCAGCCATGGCGCAGTGAACAGTGAGCATCACTCTGCGGCACAGAATCACGAGTACCGGTATCATGCCCGCGGTGCACCTTAGAAATGCGTGTATCGGTATTTACGCCACCACACCAGCACAATTGTGTTTAAGGGTGTGAATGCAGCGTTAAAAAAACAAAATAGAGGTCCATACAACAAGGCACCATATCATACCCCACTGCTCCATAAGCTCCCCAATAATCCTATAAACTCCTACACGCTACCCACGGGTTTGGCGACGCGCCTAAAATTCCGGCAGTTCTCGTGGGAGCTTATGACCTCGGGGGGTTGCGATGCGCTTCCCACACAGGAACTGGGCGGCGCAGCAGCACGCGGGCCAATTGACAGACCAAAACTCACATGGATCACAGCGATTCTACGGAAGTAAAACTTTTCAGGCCGCAGTATCAGCGACAGATACGGTGGCAGAGTCATACATCGACCCGACCAACACCGACGGCTGAGCGATCGGTGATCCACAGCTACAGCGCTTAAACGACCACGAGTTACGGCACAGTACCGTACTGTACTGTACCGTACTCTACTTGAAACAGCCGGCATCCAGTCGAGCATGATACTTTTAGTCATTGCGGCGAGCCAAGCTCTGGCGCACAACATCAAAAACACCGCCAGCGCCGTAACTCACATACCACAAGGTAGACTGCAGTCGCATCTGGCCATAACGAACGCCAAAAGTCCAACCCTCAGAGTCGCGTTCACTAATTGCTACTATGGGCGTTCATTATAGCAAACGGTACTCTGCAGTAAATTCACTAGCCTGGCTGCGAGACACTTTGCCTTATAGCGAAAAATTCATTATATAGCCAGGTTGACTACAGCCAGATGCAACCGTATAACATGTACAAACCGCCTCTGTCCGAGTTCCGGCGTCCCCGCAGCCCCAACACAGCCCGAAACCAGCCAAGATGGCGAAAACGACCAAGGGAATTGAATTGACAGTACAAGTACTAGTGCATATCACACTTTCTATCATATACCGGTACTTGTACTCTGGGAAGGCCTTGATATGATGACTGCGGAATCACTCCCCGTAATGCGTTCTCCCCGTACTTGTACGAGTACTTGAGCATTCATACCACAGAGTTTTGGCAGTGCAGATCCGAGTTCCAGAACAGGCAAATTCGGCCCGCGCGTCCCTCCAGCTGACCCCTTGTGCACCCGCGCTCGCACGGCACAATTAATTCGCCATCGCTCGTTGATCTACCAGCGTGCATACTCGTGCATAACCGACTACAGCCAGGGTGTCTTGCACAAGATAACGTATCCCAAAATTATCCCGCCCCGCATTCTATCTTGAAATTTCTGTTTTTCGCTGTATATTCCAGGAAATCATCCCGGCCCCCCACCCGAGGATAACTTAGAGAGCGGATGCCGATCCCAGCTCATTCCCCCATTCTACGGTAATTGGAGCGGCATACTCTAGAGCCTAGCTAATGCTGCCAGGATTCGAGTCGACGGGACGGCGCATTTGCAGATTGCCCTTGAGGACTGGGCCGGCATATCGAGGAGTTCAGTTGCACGTAAGGAAAACTGCAGCTTACCGTGCCCTAACATCATATCCACCCTACAATGGCCCCGGTCTCCATTGTTCTATACCATCTTACAACCTCGATCCTACCATAAATACGCCATCCTCCCCCGCCCATCAACTCAGCCGATCCTTCCACTCTATTCGTAGAGCCCCCAGGCACACGGTACAACATCACCTTCCCCCCCACCGACCCATCCACACTTCCAGAAGAATGTTCCCCGTCACGATCGGAGGGTGCGACTCCCCCCCTACCATGCCCGAGGGGTATGAACTCCATTCCAGTGACACGGTACTGCAGCTGGTCGGAATTATGGCCAGCCCCGACCATCCCCTGGAGAAATGCTGGCCATCCTTCATCTCGGAGCCCCTCACGCACCACGACCTCCTGTACCGCGTCCCCTACTTCTCAAAGTATCAATTCGTCGTCACCCACAACGGGAGCCCGGTTGCGTACGCCAATGCGGTACCCTTCCACTGGCCCGAGCTGGAGGAGCACGGGCCGCAGGAGCACGGGAGCGAGGGTTGGAAAGCCGTCAGCGAGACCCTGCCGGACGGCGGGTGGAACTGGGCCTGGCGCAGCGCAATGTCCATACACTTTAGCAACAACCCCACCACAGACTTCCCGGAAGCGGAGATCTACGCTGGACGCAAGGACCTGGTGGGCAAGCAGTCGAATACCATCTGCACCCTCGGCATCACCATCGACCCCGCGCACCGCAAGCGTGGCATCGCCGACGCCCTGCTCCAGAACTACAAAGACCTCACGCGGGTGTGCGGCTACGATGCCATGATCGTGCCCGTCCGACCCACCCGCAAGGCAGAGTTCCTCGACGTCAAGATGGAAGACTACGCCTCGTGGGTCAAGTCCACCTCCGCGGGCGCCGACGACGAGCCATTCGATCCGTGGGTCAGGACACATGTGAGACTCGGTGGGCGGGTCATCAAAGTGTGTCCAGAGAGCATGCACGTCGAGGCCGGCATCGATACCTGGGAGAGATGGGCTGGCGTCCGATTCGCCCCCGAGGAGGCCCTCCGCGGCAAAGACGAGAATGGGAGAGCCTACTGGGATATTTCCGTCCCTGGCGCACTCGCTCACGTACGCTACTTTCCGGACGCGGATCGGGGGGTTTATACCGAACCGAATGTTTGGATTCGTCATATTTAGTTGTGATGGCTGAATTTCAGCCACAATCCCTCCCTTGGTTAAACGGAGAATGAGTCCGTGGAGGATAATTGAATGTCTAAATCTGGACTTTTATGGAACCTGGGAGATAAAAATCTTCATTTTTTTTTGACCGTGACCCTCTGGAAGAACGGACGGATGGAGGAATTATGACTGTCTGTTTTATTCTGCCATTCCTTGTTTTTCGAACCCCCATCAGTCTACAATATCATAGTCAATTGCCCTAGCCAAATTCTATTGCCTCATGGCTTCTCACTCGTGTCACCAGTCCGGACTCCACATGCCGCACAGCATTATCCCGACGACAAAAGAAACGTATTAATACCATCCTGCTATGAGAGATTGTGATTGGATACTGCGATACTCACCCTGGAAGCGCCCGAGTCTACAATATCAGGCTACACCTCTACTGCGATCCCCATCACACGCTCCAGGGCTCCTATCTTGTCCACTTGATTACAGTAAGGAGGGACGGTTCGTCGTCAAAGCCAAATTTCAATCTTAACCTTCACTTCTCCTGCTACTAGGCCAGCACCCCGCACTCCTGGCGCAAATACAACCCAAGTAATTAATATTTCCCACAAACCGGAGGAACTACCGGTATTTCGTCCACTCGCTTTCCATTTAGCCAGCCCCCCACCCCCCCCACCTTCCAACGATACCTATATAACCAACCCCATTAGCCGGGAAGTGAATCGGAATCAAAAGTGTAGTCATTTATTATTCTTTTTTATCTGAATTCTGCTTAAATCTTCAGCAGAATTTTCGCAAAAAAAACACAACGTGCTTATTGTATTGTCAGGAATACCCCCCCTCCCACCCGAATTTCCTTTACTCTCCCTGCGGCTAGATGTCAGCCAATTGGGAATTTCCAGGTTTCGACATTTCCGGCGCGTTTTTTTCCGTTGATTCGCTTTTTCCACCTGAGAGGCTTGCTGGTCCGGTCCGCTGCGTTAAGGCACAACGTTGCAATTGATGGGGAGCTATCACATAGAGCCATCCCCTTCTGCCAAAAGCAGAAAATAATGGTATTTGAAGGTGGTAGTGGTAAGAAGAAGGAAAGAACCGTATAAATAAATGATGGTGATTCCGGCGTGCCCAATAATCCTGTTTCATCGGTGGATTCAATTCTAATATGTCTAGCGTCTCTAATGGACTTTGGATTTGCTATCTTATACATACACTGCACCGAGGATACCGGCCGGACCCACCGACGGAATTCTCCCATCTGTCTCTAGCTTATCGCCAAGATCCCCAGAGAATGGTTCCCGCACTGCGTGCAGGCCGGCGGGTAGATCTGGTACTATACTAACCGGTCTTAGAGTCTTATCCATTTCCCTCTCCAAACGCGCGGTTATGGGCAAGGTTTGGTTGGACTGATCGAGTGATGTTTGATGGATGGATGGACCTGTTCTTGCGATTGGAGATCTGCATGCTTGAAGATGGTCTGTGAGCAGATGATGAGCGAGAGAAAGCTGACGAAGGGGTTTTGTAGGACTCTAGGACGGGTATCGTATCATACGAGAGATTGGCTGTCTGGTGTTGCGGTGTTGGGGGGTTATCGCGGCGGAAAAGGAATTTCACCCGGTGGTCTGTTTTTCCGCGTTCAGCTTCTCGAGTACGATACGGTACTCTAGCTCAAAGGTGGAGTGTCGGTAAAGGACGGATTTACCGGTATTCAAACACCCCCCCCCCCCCCATTGAAGATACAGATTGAAAGCTCAGGCCCACCAAGGAGGATACAAGAAAACGCGACACAAGTCCCCGCGATATTTATAGTTCTGGCTTTCAAGGGAGCTTCCTATAAATATTCAAGGATAATCTAAAGGCACCAGTATCTCTGTTCTGTCCTGTTAACTCGGGATCTAGCTACAAAGCTCGGACTCAGCTTCTTAATACTCAGACCTCTAGAACTTAATTAGGGCCGTATTTCCCTCCGACAGTAGTGGGGTATCTGTTTTTCAAAATAAACTCCGGAACCGCTCCATTTTCCCGCGCGCAACCATAGTATGATAGAAGATATGAGGAAGGGTGTATCAGTTATCGGTGGTCTAGAGTACCAGAAAGGGGCCCCGGGGTCTCGTTCTTGGGCGTTACCGGATGTACCAGACCAGGGCTATAAACTACTTCCTCTCAATTATCCGAAAAAATCCGGAGAAGCTCGAACTCGGTAATCCGGTAATCTTCTTCTGCTGATTGGGTGAGCTAGAACCCGGTCACAGCTCCCTTACCAAAGATCTTAAGCTAGCCCAAGGTCATTAATCGCGTCATAAAGCGGGGAATTCAGCACAAAAATGGATAGCAGGCTATGAGGTATAGTAGTTAGTGCCGCATTCCTGAAGATAGAAACGGCCTACAGTACCGCACTATATCAGAACTCGTATATAATACCACCTATTGAGACCAATGTTGAGTGTCGTACCAGCTCCAGGTACCGGTACCTCACCCCACCTAGCCGCACAGGAAACCACCAACTGCTTCGCCAGCTATTGGCCAATTCCAGGGACAACCCCTATCCTACTCAAAAACGCAAACCGAAGCAACATCAAATCCGGACTCCCTTCAGTTCCGGTAACAACTAAACCAAGGCACGGACCAACCACAAACCGTTCCCCAGGGTCAGGAAGCGCGAAACAGATTCGGAGAAAGCACCACGCTGAAGAGGTTGAGAGGGGTACATTTCGAAGGGGCTCAAAGCAGCATGTGATGCAATCCGGCTAGTTGAGCGGAGGAAAACTGTGATAACTTTGCTAAAAACGACGAGCTGCTACAATGCTTGAGAATTAGGCCTTCGCCAAGAATGGTCGCAAAAGCGTTGGGTTCCTCTTCTCAGCCTCAAACATGACTATACGATCATTGCCATTTTAGAACGCTTGACCGCGACGCCTCTTTGGTAGGAGATCACGGTTACAACTATTATAATGCTTGAGAATTATACTGGCACCAACCCGTGATCCCAATCTCGGATTCCGGTGAGGAACATTATCGTCAGCGGATAACTCTCGAGCCCGGTTTTGTTCCTGATCGACAAACTCCTTGCGTAACCACAAAATCCAACCTCCGTCCTCCCCACCGGAGGAATTAAGACCACCACAGATAGTTTCGATCTGAAATATCACAAGCAAGGGCACTTCGGAAGTCTCCCCTCCTCACAGGTCGGTAATTCTGCTAATTTCCGCTCTTGCATTCCTAATCACCGCTTCCTCTGTTTACGTTTTGAACCCCTATACGCCACCTGGAATGGAGTGATTATATACCCCTCTCTCACCCCTTCCCAACCGTCCCCCCCCCCCCAGCTACAAACAGATACCGGTACACTTCAGAAATTCCCCTGCCTACGCTCTCACTACCCCCCTCCCTACGAAATGCCCTTTTCAATACTCCAACTGTACACATTCTTTTTTAGAAAAGCCCCCTCATAGCAAGCAAACATGCTTACCCAGACTCCCATCCTTCTCCTCTCGCTCTTTACACTATTGGCGGTCGCTGCACCGCTTCCCCAGGAAGGGAATAAGCAGTTGGGCCTTCACAACGAATCACCATCATCCAGGCTTGCTCCTTCAACCGCTGCCCCGACCGCTGCTGCCGCCACGTCCACCCCATCGACTGTGCGCGACCTCTCCGCAGCTGTGGCTGCTGAAGCACTCAAAGGGAACGCAAACCCGCCCATCACCGGCGAGGACGGCACGGAACTCGGTATGGCTGCCGCGATGCAGGGCATCGGCACCGCGACCGGGGCACTCGGTGCCCTTCCACCGGAAGGTGGTATGGGAGGCCTGGGCGCCCGTGGTGAATCCAACATTCGGAACCGGAACAAGAGAACGCCACTAGCGCCCGGCTTAGACATCAAAAGGCTCCCCCTCGTCGGGTCCCTAGGTCTCGGTGGGCGTGATACTTCCAAGCTAGACAAGACAGAGGCACAGGTCGGTAGGGACCTTCTCAGTCTTCAATCCCGGGAACAAAGTCAAGCGTCAAGAAGTGGACACCGAACCGCTCCTCCCCGGCGCTGAAAAGGGTGCTATCGCTGAAGTAAAAGAAGCGAAGAAACCGATAGACCCGGTGGACAGTATCAAGAAGCTCGCCGCAATCGTGGCCGACGCCCGCGGCGTCACCGCAAAGGGCAAGCGCAGAAGCTTCAGTAAAGGCATTATCGACTCCACAAACTCAAAAACAGACAGCCAATTCAACTCCGCGCTCGAAGATGCCGAACGCACGGACCACCCAGAGAATACCTCATTCCCGCCGGGTATGCCGGTCAAGACACCGCAGGACGCCCTCAACAAGAGAACCGACGACCAAGAGAGGGAGAGCGATGCTGAGCACGTGCAGGACGATGTGCTCGAAAACACTTACCCTGCGCTGTTCCCGCTCGAGGAGGGGCAGCAGAAAACCCATAAGACTCACGAAGAGCTCAAGCGCCAGCCATTGGACCTCAAGGGTGCTGTCCTGGCGAAGGATCTTATCGATAATGCTTCCGGGCAAAAGAGTGTCATGGATTCGTTCAAAAGTCTTTCCTCGGCGGTGCAAAATAGCAACGCGTAGGTTGTAGCGTCATATACTCGAGTGTGAGCAGTTAGGTCTGCGGCCAATCGGTCAGTGGCAGTTTCTAAACTTTTTAAACGTTCTTCTCTCGCTCTATCCCTACTATTAGTCTTTCTTCCTTTCATTCCATCTCTCTTTATTTCCCCCCATCCCGTTCGATGTATTTCTTTGATGGTGGAGGTTCAGGGACTAAATTGCTTATTTGTGAAGCCAACCCACCTACTTCCGGCGTATGGCAGACACTTTGAATTGGAAATTCGGAGGGAACGAACCTGATGTCGTGGTAATTTTGCAGAGATGACTGTGCCCAAAAAAATTCCCTGCAGCTTTATATTGACCCCACTTCCAGACGTATCGAGTACAACTCCCCTCGCCTTTCCCAGCACCCAAGATGTGTAGATATTTTCCAGTCGTAGCCAGCATACTTTACAATAATTTGCGAGCACGATCTCCTACTCCTCAATTGCGCAAGCACAGTATCCTCGTCACTCAGGATCACTCGTGAACACACTCCTTGACTCCAACGCCCTATAAATAGGGCAGGATCCCGCGTCACGGGTTCTTCAGGGACCGATTTAACCCAATAATCCTTCAAACACCCTCCCCAACCGTACGAGTACAATAGCATACTCTCACAAACTCCACGAAACACATTACCATAGCCCAACTTCCCAAGCGAAAGGTACGAGTACGGTATCGGGCTCACTCCCACCACTACCAAGCCCACAACGTCATGAGGCTCAACGGAACTATCCAAAGCCGAAGTCAAAGCGCGAGGCCACTGCCCCCCACGCAACCTGACGGTCGCCGGAACGAAACCGTGAAAGCAAGGTAAAAAGCTGGGAATTTTTCAACCCGTAGGGGAGGCCCACACAGCTCAGCCATTCATCATCATCATCGCCTAAGCAAATCCACCGTCGCACAGAGAACCACCGATGATCGGGGAAATCTTGCTATGTGTTGTTAAAGAGTCAGCAAACTACAAGCTCAGCCTTCCTCGCCATAATTCCATCCTTCTTTCAACGATAACGCTTCTCCTCCCCTTCCTCCTCTTCCCCCTCCATATACACAACAACATCCACGATGTCGAACACCAACGGTAGCAATCAAGCCATGTCGCGCCCCACCACCACCAACGAAAACATTTTCCTCTTCATTCCCAACCTCATCGGCTACTCGCGCATCATCCTCGCCGGCTGTTCCCTATACTTCATGTCCTACCACCCACACTACTGCACGCTCCTTTACACGCTCTCCTGTCTCCTCGACGCGCTCGATGGTTGGGCTGCCCGGCGGTTCAACCAGAGCACGAAATTCGGAGCGGTACTCGACATGGTGACGGATAGGTGCACCACCGCATGTCTCCTCTGCTTCCTCAGTAGCGCGTACACCAGGTGGGCGATTCTCTTCCAGGGCCTGATATCCTTGGATCTGGCGAGTCATTACATGCACATGTATGCCTCGTTAGAGCGGGGCGCCGCATCACACAAGAAAGTTGAGAAGAAAATGAGTAGGGTTTTGAACCTGTATTATTCTAATAATGTTTGTTTTCCGTTTTCTTTTCCCTCCCTCCCATTCCCCGGTTGTGACATGATTAGACGGGGTTGCTAATAGGGGGGGGGGGTTGGATTGTAGAAAGTCTTGTTTACCTTTTGCGCCGCGAACGAGTTGTTCTTCCTCAGCATGTATCTTCTCTCCTTCCCCCAGTTCTCCATCATTGGAAACTCTTGGAGTTGGCCATGGATTGTTGCGGCGGTCACCTTCCCCATTTGCGCTGCTAAGCAGTGGATCAACGTTGTGCAGATGGTCAAGGCTGCAGGGTCATTGGCGGAGGGTGATTTGGAGCTAAGATCTCAAGCAAGGAAGCAAAATTAGTGAGCCGGTTGGTCGGTTGGTTGTTTGGTTGGCTGAGTATGGTATAGTATCCAAGGGCAGGTGGAAACTGCATAAGGGCGTTCGTTGGTTACGAGATTCTCGCTTTTTTCCCTCTTCCTTCTTTTTATTCTTTTACATAATAATCATTTATCTTTAATTTTCCTCAATCAATTCACTTGCCTTCCGGCCCCCCCTTGTGGCCCTGTAATGGCCTCACCACTGACCGGTCCACCAATTCCTAGATACTACTCCCGACGGGGAAAAGGACAGTGGAAGCATTGGAAAATGAGTGCGCAAACCTCCTCACAGTGATTTAGCCAGCCACCCACCGGCCCTACGATAAACGGGAGGTCCAGTCGAAAACCATCCCAATACCCAAATATCTCCGCCGAAAGTCCATCCCGCGGGTATTCACGCACCCATCCACCAAACCTTCCTGCCCTACACGTACACTATCCCCAACGAAGCAGAGTAAGAGACTGAGAATCTAACCCAGGACCATCACAACATTCAGTTCCGCAACGACTTGCAAATGAGATATGTCCCCCAAACCATACACCCCCCCAGTTTGTTCCGTAGTGGGTGCAGTAGTAATCTGCGGGTCTACCATATTCATTTATTTATTTTCTTCCCTACGCAGGAGTACATTCCACTGCCCGCTATCCTATCCCACTCGAGCCGAGAGAAGAACACTACGGGGAGTGTTTGAAGGATATATCCCCGACTGGCGCGGCACAAGTACTGTACAGTACACAAATAGACAATACGATATATAATATGACGAGACAAAAACATACTTTAACCCCACAAGTCATATCATATAACCGTTGATCTTAGTTTCAAAGCCCCAGCACCGCGCCAAGGTGTCTATCAACCACACTAGTGGTCCTATGAGCCATCCACGAATGATAGATAGCCATTTAAAATAAAACCCCCATCATATCAAACCGTGGTCTAAAGTAATCATTCCTTCATATCAGGCACCCTCCTTTCCTTTCGAGGCTTGTTACGATACGATACCATACCTGTCGTTCACTGTCGAGCAACGGTAAATATGATCACTTCTCGCGGAAGCCGGGACTCTACCTACCGTAGCTGTCGTTCAGGGTTCCCGGAGCTCTCCTCCGCAACCGTGATGCAAATTCCATGGAGAGGGAAGAAGGTGGTTTGGTGGTGAGGGGTGGCTGTACTATATTTATAGAGCCGGAGGAAGTACGATACCAAATTATTATTATTTTTTTCTTCTCTCCTTAGGGTACTCGAGAGGGAGGAGGGTGAGTGAGGCTTAAATTTCTGTACAGTACCAGTAGGGTTCACGAAAAGGCTTTTTTTTACTATGATATTATTTAGATATAGTGTGATGTATGATACATTATATCATAAGAGTCTGAGTCCCCTTTCTCCCCGCTTCTCTAAATAGCCTTGCAGTCAGCATTAGTCAGTTGATAGTGCAGTAACTTATCAGACTATCAGAGCGGGCAACGGTACTCGAAGTCTCAAGGGAGAATTGGAGACTGTTCGCTCTCGTTCTTGAAAAAGGCTAGTCTGTTCAATAACGCCTACTTCCAGGTAACTGCGGATATCCCGCAGAGGTTGTTCGTTCGCTTTTTGTTCCCTTTTGTTTTTGTTTTTTTTGACATTTCTCGCCGGTGGGGGGTCGGATACTCATTTACTCTAATTCCTGCCCACTTCTTTCTTCTCATCTGTTCCTTCTTTCTTTCTTTCTTGCGCCCGCTCCCGCCAGGCCTTCTGGGCACGATAGTCCGGAACTGAGAAAGGGGTGCGACGCGATAGATCCGATTAGTTTCCAGATCTGCACATCCCGTGATATGACGGCAGTCCTGAATTCGTGTCGCCTCCCAATTACACTTTTCCTCCATTCTCGAAACTTAACGCACAATTCTCATTCGGATAGATGACATTGCGGCGGTAAGTTAGCCTTAGGAGGGGTGGTATTCCTGAAAAGAAGGGATGGAAGTATCATACAAAGGAAGAGGGAAAAAGAAAAGTGAATTATTGGGGGTAAAAAAAAGAATTGTTTGCTGGGACGTGAGACGTCGGATCTCCCGGTTTGCGTTCCCACATTGCATATTGAAAACCGGAATGTGAACCTTTATATCCACTCGATTCACTACGGCTTAGAGCGATAGCCATAACAGACGATAAATACAAATTCCCTAGTCCAGCACAGCATTGCCATTCCTGTTTTTCCCAATTCCTGCCTTGAATGCCGATTAACATTCTTCGAATTCCACCCTCCACATCAACAGCATTCCCATACCAATTCCAATCATCACATATACAGGAATGATACTAACACACTCGTTCCTTACGATACATAACATACATTGGGGTTTGCCGTCTCTTATATAGGAAGGAAACAACCAAACGGGCGAGAAGTCCCCTTCCTAAATTGCGTGCGCTATATCACGAAAATTTTCCTCCTCCACTCAGGCTTTCCCCTCATGTAAGGCTACAATTCCACCAGACGAAAGATCCCCGATCCTGGGCATTTCGGGACGGCGGACAGCAACTTGATATAATGCGAATATCATACCTCCCTGTCACGCACGAAGTGCTGTGAACTCAAAAAAAAAATCCTTCACCGAAGTTTAAACCCGTCAAATTATTCTTCGGATTTTGGTCATGCGGGATAGCAGAGGTGCGACTGTACAAATACTCTGCGCCTCGAACTCTTATCATACCCACCAGCCAGGCATCAAGTTCCCCGAGTGATTCCATATGACCACGCCAATTTCCGGTTATTCATCTATTATCCAACACCTTACAAGCCAACCAACCAACCAACCACCAATCACCAAAGTTCCCCAAACCATCCCCTCCACCCAAGCGTCCGCTACCGGTGTGATGCTCGAGTAATTAGTTGCCGGTACTGTAAACTATCCACAAGCGAAAGATCCCCCCTGCACGACCTGTTCCAGGATCAATTTCCACCTTTTTCGTCCCATCTTGACCACGATATGCAGAGATCTGCAACAAACCCAAACCCAACCCCCACATGTGCAGTATTACGGGCATAACTACCAGTCAACCACGCAGAAGGACCGGCTCGTGATTGGTTCCAGGTGAGTTTGGGAGGCAGGCGCCTACGTTGATTCACGGCTTACACATTCTTTCGCGATGCTTACGCCGTTACCCGCGCGGAAAGTTGGGGATTAACTCTCGGAGGACAGATGGATGGGTTAGAAGAGGGAGAAGAGGGGGGGGGGACCTAGTCTGCTCGCTACTTATTTAAAGGAATCCCCGGACTTGAGAGCCCTTTTGGAAGGGGGGAGGGGGTTTCTCCTTGACCCCTGGCTTGGAGTTTTGATGTTTTCTGGAATGTTTGCTCGGGTTGACGTCAGGGGTGGTTGGCCTTGGGGGACTGTCCGACTGACTGGATGGCTTGGTGCAGCGCGAGTGCGTCAGACTTAACTTGACGAGTAATACCGGTAGAAAGACTACTATCTCTACCTCGAATAAGGCCTACCATACGAGAACTTGTGATTTCCGCACCGCCTCGCTCTGGAACATTGGATTTCCGGATTGAATCCCTAGCATGGGGGACTTGTTCTCTCTTGGTATTCTTCCTATTGGCCACCTACCGGTACTCTTAGGCACAGGGAACTCACGATCGAGATACATGCCGTGAACCGCATCACACCTGCCGGTATTTATTTTCCTCACCCTACTGGGAGACTCCGTGTGAATGCGCACGCAGGACGGGTGCGGGGTGGGGGAGAATTGGGAGGCCATTGATCCAGGGACATGTGGGATGCAAAGGGGCACAAACAGGAAATGGAAAATCTCTCCATTGAAAGGACACTTTCCTCTCACCTCAACGCTCAATGGCCCTTCATCATTCTCGCATCACTCCCGGTGGCCCCTTTACCATCCATCGCCTTACTACCGTGGTTAAACACCCTTTGGGCAACTCTTTGACAAAGGTTCTCTCACACTCCCTAACCGCCAATTAGTCAAGCATTTCAGAAGCTAGAATTAAGTTATACCTCTTCTTTATATCAAATATTCAGGGTTTATTTCTGCGTGGGGGACGGAAGTCTTACCTACTTTAAAGAAGGGAAAGGAGAGCAGGCAATCAGCTAAAGCGGGTCTAGATTGAATCCATAACTAAAAGATCTTTTCGAGAGAGCTTCCCTCCTTTCTCTCGTGAGCCTCTCACTGCGATGGGGGGGCTGGAGGATTGCCAATGAGAACTCGAGGCAGACGCTCCAAGCCGTGCCTCTGGGTGCCGGATAATTTAACAACAAGGGGTCGCCTTTTGGGCACTAGAGTCAACCCGATCCCTAGTAGGCTCTATACCGACACATCTACAGCCTCTATCACCAAGGATGATGTGTGGGCACTTTGCTAGACAAAAATACCGAATCTTCCAAAGCACCAATAGTCCTTGAGATGGATAATTGCCTGCAGGCCAAAAAAAGAAATTTCCGGGAAGAGGGAGGATCTAGCTTCTCGAAAAGCCAGCACGATTCCATTAAAGTTTAATCGCCGGCCACGACCATCATCAGAACATATCAGTTCAGCAGGCGAGAAGCTTCCTGTGCCGAGAAGTGCGCACGACCATTATCTAGCATTTAAATGATTAGAGGTATGTTAGCCTTACATTATTATAATAGGTCTTATCCAGCCAGGGCAAAGTTTACAGCGCCTGATCCGAGCGCTACGGAAACTACGCTAGAGCCTGGACTCCGAATGCGCAAAGGCACCATTATACAACTTGTATCTCCACTGTACCGTTCCGGTGGATATGGGCTGCCGCACCTAAGCCCAGGGTTATCATAACTACTTGGCTCCAGGAATAATCTGCCGGGGATCCGGAGAAGATATAATCATCACTTACAATATCGGACTAGGTTACTCTTATACCAGGGTTCAAAGATTCAAAACGTGGGAGCCAAGTCGGCGGGTTTTCTCAGTTCCACAAGTTAAAATTACAAGCGCGCGCTCCTGTGATACTTGTCATCTCCATCCCGTTCACCACGACTCGCACGGCATCCAGCTTTGATGAACTTAGCCCAAACCAATTTCTGGTTTTTTAGACCCGGCCACCGTATCACGGCGTGCAAACTCAGAAGGCTAGCTCGGACGATAGTTATCCGGGATCCTTGTCCTGTCACTTGTCACTTCAGTACCGCACGACATTCAGTCCATCATCCTAGACGGTCGGAGAACATCATACGCAGCAACACGGCGGCGCCAGAATTTAAGATCTGACCATTGGTGCCACAGCAAAGTCTGACCGGTGATCTTAAATTTGAGCTCGATAGATGTCGGCTATCTAGGGCCCGGAGACCTCTGACGAATCATCAGAGTCGAAGCGCCCTTACCCCATAACTGACATAGGGCCATAGAGCCACATTCCCAACATTTGCACTTTTGACAGACCTTCGATGAAGGTGCCGGTATCGAGTGTCATACTAAATGAAACACTACACCCAAAATTCGAGGCTGAATTTGATCATCAGAAAATATCGATGGCATTGAATGATCCTCACGAGTGATCGCAGCCCGGCATGCACCCCCCCTGCTTTTTTTCGAGCTAAAAATTTTGGAGGGTGAGCCGATGTGGCTCCTTCCACTCTCGACATTAGTGGAGCATCGTCAATTCGCGGACACAAGAAAGCATCACAGCGGTTGCTGGGTTCCTAATTGGTTCAACGGGGAAAAAGCCCTCCCTACTCGAGTACACTTTGTTCATACTCCATTTGGCTCTCGTCGAAAACTATTCGGGAAGAAATTCTGCCGGGCCCGATATCATCCAGAGAAAGACATGTGACACTACTCGAGTATCGGACTCTCGAAACGGACTACTTGTTGTGAGTTTTTAACGGGGGCTGGTTCTGACTCCGTAAAAATGCTTTCTCCAAGTCGGGTGCTGGCAGCACCAACGTTTCCGAGCCGCTGCTAAAAGCTTGGCCTCCCTTACGCTGCATTCAGCTTACGAATATGCATGCGCCAAACATCTGCCTTACTCTTAATTCTGGGAGCCGCTTAATGATGGAATGGAGTACAGTATCTCGAGTAAGATGGGGTTCTGTGATCCTGGCACTGAAGCATCACAGCTCCGGCTAATAATTATTTATGGAAAATGGAGACTCGACAAAGAAACTTCTTCGGGCGGCTCCTATGCATAAGCTGTCGCTCTATTTGGCGACGTGTCGCTAGCTGCTGCTCCCTTGCTCTTGTTCCAGGCTTGTTCCAGGCATGGCCAACGAGATTTCACTTTCTCAACAGGGAACCAAGGCCCTGTTGAGTGGGCCATTGCTTGATAAAGGCATCTTAGGCGGTATGTACGCCCACGAGAATTAATTCGGCTGCTCGAGTGTTCCCGTTGCACAGTGGAAGCCATTGGGCAGCCTACACTTAGCACTCATGCGAATTTTCCAATAGCGAGTCCTGCGGCGATGTAACGAAGAACCCGTGGACTGTATGGACAGTACGTCGGCGACTAGGAAGAGTCACTTCGATCACAAGAAAGCAAAAGTGCTATCATCTACGAAAGCAACTCTCTAGTGCCACTGGGCACTGGTTCTTTTTGCTGGAAATCAGATCGGTAGACAACTCGAGATTCAAAATCTTTCTTGGGGCGGTTGCCTCGCACCACATCCGGACCCGCCAATGAATGCGCTACTCTTCTCCAACTCTGGCCGGTCATAACGGCCTATCTACGCCATTGAGACGCCCAAGGAAGCGGGGGAACAGGGATGAGGCCGGGGAAAGGCACCAGAAATGGGCCAACAACCAAGTGTTTGGGAGATTCCGGTACTTTTGTTCAACACCGCAGCTCTCCCAACTCTAAATGCTGGTGTACCCTCCCTTTCGGACTTTATGAACCCTTTGCATTTGTAAATATTCTGCATAGAGACGATTAACTTGGAGTTGAAAGATGGTGGTATACTCAGCTTCATATCCTACTCGTGGAACATTGTGAAGAATAAGCGCTAAAGGGCGGGAAAAAAACAAGAGTCCAAAGTTTCCAAGAAACACAATTCTTCGCTTTTATGGTACCGGCACCGTACCGCACCGGTAGTTCCAATGGGTCCGCGCCTTTTCATCCGCTATCCACCGTAAAATTGTGTCTTGATATGGTATGATATTATATTATTATTTTTTCTTTTCCCATCGGTCCCTTTTTTTTTTGGCTACGGCTGTCGCTACCGGCCAAGGGATCACCTCAGCTCACTCCAGCCAATCAAATGCAGGCCGTAAGCTCGTTCATTGAGCGGGGGTTGAGTGAGGAATGAGAGACGCCAGGGATTGAATACATCAGAACACCAGAGAGCAGCCCCAGGCAACCCCGGTACACTCCTGCTGTCACTTGCGGTACCATACAGAGCACTTTTCCTCTATCCACGGCGGCACTCCTGTATCCGCTCGTCAGGGCTCTTACAGTCTCACCACCGTAGCATTTACTACCGGCACATCCTAGCAACAAAAATAACCTTCATAACCTACGAGTGGCACCGAAGTGTTCTTTTTTCCTCGTGCGCTCGGTTTGCTTGGTTTGCGCAGCTTGCTGGGTGCCGCCACTCGACGCATCAGCCTATCATTGGAAGCATCATAACCTACGGTATTGTCTCTAACTTCAGGAACGCAGACACCCCAGACACTCCAGACACCCCCAACCCTGCGCTAGCACAGTTCGGTGCTTGATCCGCGCCATAAAGATCGGGCTCCGCCCCACGGAAAGCCTCTCAGCACGATACTCTTCCCGCAGTCTACATACACCCCATATTTACCTTATCGTATCCTCGGTACTAATATAGTCAGGCCTTCATCTCCTCAACTCTTCCTGACGTCTAACCGCATAATCCTAAGGCACCTCGCCTCTTTTTTTCTCTTGTCCCGGTTCCACGACTTTATAACCCAGCCCTATCGTCTTACCCGAGCCTCATTCTTAAATCCTTCCCATCCTCCTCAACTTTTGCGAACTCTGCACACTTCGTGAGTTAGCATCGGAAACGTCTTTGGGCTTACAAAGGATATTGGAGGCAGCTTGGGCGTTCACATTCCTTATTTAACTAACCACTTTCACATCTCAAAAATGGCTTCATTCGAACCATCGTTCTATACACAACCCCAAGCAATCTACCAACCAACCCCTACATCCTCACATCAGGCCGATGAGTTTTCACCTCTGGTTAGCACCATCCTACCGCCCCTCGAGATGCCGATCTAACCGTTTCGTAGTCATTCACAAGCTACCCTACATTCGACTTTTTCGAACCGCAAAGCCATCACATTCCGCCTTCGATAAGAGGCCAGACTCCTGTTGACCCAGAGACACAGAGAAATGGGAGGAGCAGCAGCGAAGAAAAGGAGTTGACACCGGGACAGCGGGTAAGCCAGACCGCTGATGACTCCAATGCTTCAATGGATGGTACCCTGACCGCGACACAGAGACGGAAAGAACAAAATCGAGCAGCGTAAGGACCACCATGAGTGGGAGTGACATGACTCGATGTCACTTGCCCTCTTTTTTACCTGCCGCAACCAAGACTAAAATTCGATTTTGTAGGCAACGTGCATTTCGGGAGCGCAAGGAACGACACGTCAAGGAACTAGAACACAGGCTTAAGACATTGGAGCAGCATGCATCGGAAACGGCATCGCAAAACGAGATGCTAAAGCAGGAGCTCCAAAAGACCAAACTTGAGAACAGACTTCTGCAAGAGAATAGCCTGCGGGGCAACTCGCCGCCGGCAATGACCGAAGTGGCAAACATGAACTTCAAGCCGACGGACCACCACAATATCGCCAACCCCCCTCCGGCCTTCACATCCCCGATATTCGGGGAGCACCCAAACAAAGGCCCCCTGCACAGGATCTCGACGAGCCCGAAGACGGGCGAGCGACTCTTGGGTGCTGGGGCCGCCTGGGACTTGATCGTCTGCCATCCGCTGTACGAGAAAGGTCTTGTAGACATCGGGGACATCTCCGACAGGCTGAAGGGGCTCGCCCGGTGTGATGGGCAGGGGCCAGTCTTCGAGGAAAGCGTCATCCTCGAGGCCATTAACGCCTCGTCAGGCAGCGGTCGGGATGAGCTTCTGGTGGAATCTTCACCTGGGATGTCTTACTAATTAATAAATTCGAAAAAGTCAAAAGGGAAAGAGAGGAACCCGATTTCCTTTTTTTTTTTTCACCGGTTTCTCCCCTTGTGATTTTCACTCGGCTCTTTTTCCTGATTCCGTCCCATTCTATTTCCCTTTTCCTTTTTTTTTTCTTTCACTTTTCTCCTTGTCTCCCTCCCGCTCTAACTTGGACCTGGACAAAAGCTTTTTTCTCCTCTCCTTTTCCTTCTATTGTTCTATTCTATTCTATGCATTCCTTTATTTTTCGCAAAAAATTCTGGAGAAGTGGCGCAATCTGGGGACACGGCGAAATTGGCGTGGATTGTCCAGGATGGGAGGAGAGGGGAGTGGAATGCGAAGGGGAAGGGGAAAGGGACTACACAATTAAAAACGAGGAGAAAAAACAATTCAAACCAAAAAATTTCCAATCTCAAAAATCGAGATCCAAAGACTTCACAAGAGCAGCCCACACTACCGTATGCATCGAGGGAGCCAACCGGCCACACAAAACGGACGGTCGTGCAGTGCGGTGCCGTCCGAGTCCCACACTGCTACGTGCGTACCGTACTCTAATCGTACTGTACGAATACAGCACTGCAGCTTCCCGAATTCCTGTTGCGATTTTGATTTTCGATTTTTCCCTCTCTTGTGGCAATTAAAGGAAGGAGACGGCTAATTTGGAATCTTTGCCTTTTTTTCCTTTTTTTCCTTCCCCCCTCCCAACCTTTCCAACATCTGTTTGTGATTTGCTGCTCCGCACCATTTGCACTTGCACTTGAGTTTTTGTTTTGGCGGCGGTGGGGTGAAGTTGGGGTGGGAACGGGGGGGGGGTGGCATGGGCCGATAGGAAGCATGGCGCAACAGCAGCAAGTGGGGGAAGGAGGGAAAATCGCGGAGAGCAGCCTTTCTCTGTTTTCTTCTATTTATCATAGATATTTTTTCTGTCACCCTCAAGTCAAGTTTACATCTTCTTATCGGGGTCTTTTTTTTCTCCGCCCATTATTCTTTTTCGAACCTTACCCCCTGGCTCGAGGTCAAGCTTGAGCTTTCTTCTACCGTCATACCATACCCTAGATGTTGTCATAGTGCCCACACCTCTACTTGTACTTGGCCCTTCCTGTATCATACAATCATTCGCCCCCAGCTCAGTTTCAATCCGAACATGATGATACCAACCAAGCCAAAACCAAACCAGACCCGGCCAAACCAGACCAGATCAGCCTAATTTTTACCACTGGCGCAAAATCAAATGTGCAAAGTGCGTGTTTTTCTTTTTGCTCTTTCTTTTTTCTCTTCGGGGGGGGGTGGAGGAGGAAGAAGGGTGGGGTCACTCGCCATCCTGACCGGAAGTCAAAGATGGCATGGCATTCCTACCATGCGAACTTATCAGTCATATATCGCACGAGTAAAGCAAATCAGCCACCCGCTAAAAAAGGAAGAAAAAAAGGAAAAAGGTTCTCCAACGTCGAATTCCCTAAAGTACCGGTACCGGTACCTTAACTCTCCGGCCGTCCATTGCCCCAGTACCGGTACCGATATTCCCCATTGCCATCCCGTCGGCGAACAGGATGATATCGCCAAATCGTCACCCCCACGGAAGCGATTTCGGTGCGGTAACGGTAAGCAAGTGTTCGATCGAAACCGGGACCCCTGTCATGTTACGTTTGTCGCGAGGGGGCCTAGGAAAAGGGGAAGAAAAGGGGTCGTTTCACTCTCGCGTGCGGATCGTACTGGCTTACCATAGTACCGTATCGTAGTTTTAATCCGGACTATCGTAGACCACGTTGCCGTGTGGGAATATTACTCGTACGAGTACCGGTACACTACAGCCCGAGTACAGTACCGTATGGCAGAAACGGGATTCGTAACGGCTGGGATAGGGGTGCCGCTTGAGTTTTAAGTTAGGTTTGTACGAGTAGACCACGGCGGAATCTGTGTCGGTGGAAATCCAACTATCACTGTCTGGCGTCAACCCCCCTTCGCCCGAAAAAGGATTAGCGTTTTTCAGATATGGTAAAGATCTGCCCGCTAAGATTTGCGTTGGATCTCGATAACTGGTAGGGTATTCGCGATTCCTGTTAACCTGCCGAAACAAACCTAACGTATGGCGGGATGACGGGCGGCCCGGAGGGAGATAGCGTACTGTACCGTAGGGGATTTCATGAGATTTTACGGTTAGCGGTGTTGCGTGTGTGTGGTGGGGGGGGGGGTTATTGTCACTCACCGTACCGGTACTTGCTTTCTGACGGGCCTTTTGGAGGGGATGTGTTTTTTTCGGGCGTGGTGCCGGTAGTGAAGGGACGTGTACTGTACGATACTCGTATAATGTCGGGCAGCTCTGGTGGTGGTGGGATGGGTGCTGGGGGGATACCGTACCGGTGCCGGTGAGCCGGAGATGGGTTAAGTTAGTACTTTGCTGTGAGCTTCGGGGAGGGGTGGGTTTGTATCGGGTGACTTGGCTGTAGGGGGCGTACTGTACGATACCACGGGAGGAAACGTGATCACGCTGGGAGGTAGAGCCAAGTGAACCGGATCGAGTCATGGATCGTTGGTCAATCATTGATTTTTTTTTCTTTTTCTCTCCAGGGAGAGGGTTAGGTCAGGTAGACGGGTGGATACGGATCGATGGCAGATGACGCACCGTGATTCGATAGATGAAATTAATTCCTTCAACATGGGAATTGTGCTAGTACTTGTATAATAAGAATTGTGGGATAGTAGAGGAAAGGGAAAAATTCGCTTGCCGAACTGCTTGGATCGCAAGCATTTGTTTTCTCCTATCCCCCCCGTAATAATATGGTTTCCTCTCGTACGGGTATTGTACTCAGTACAGAAGTACTCCTGCTTAGGCTTCCGCTCAATTAATCTCCACTATACGTGAGGTACCAATCCCAGCGAACATTGGCCAATATCTGCCAGGTGCATACATATCATACCCACCACCGAAGAAAAAATCGCCAAAGCACATGCAACCCAGGGCGTTCTTCATGCCTCAATGTGCCCATTCAGGGGGGGTTGACCAAAGAGAAACCTTAATTAACCGACCCACAAGCGGGAAGCGTGCAGGTTTTAGTACGAGTACAGGTGCCGATATTCAGGAGTGGTATGATATCCCCTCAGGTGTAACGTCCCCGGCAAGATGAGATGATTCCCGTCTCTACCCGGTGCTAGTAGCTTCTAGTAGACTGCCGGTACGGGACCCCCGAGAGTTAGCATCACAAGCATCAGGCAAAACTTGGATGGGAGGGGGATTGTAACCCATTCCCCACAGCATACAGGATAAAGCCGTGTGGGGTACGGTGAAGCTGGAGATGAGTCCCGGTACGACCAAGGATTAGCAATAAAACCCATGACCGCGATCGCGAAACAGAGCAAGCCACCGGTGCTGCATAACCCAGCACCTATGATATGGTTAGTCGCAATAGTAGGATCCGGCGGTGCCGGTGAGCTTCTCGGGACGACAAAGCGGAGTAGGCTACCAGAGACAAAGCGGAGAAATTGCAGGAGCAAGCAAGCAGGCGGATGTGGAGTTGAAACGAGCAAACTGCCATTATGAAATCCACTGATTGGCATTGAGTTGAATGGGGGCATCCGCATGTCGACCAGTACTCCAGTAAAGACGTATGAAATTAGACAGGGCACGCGAGTGTCCGCCACCACCAGACCGTAGGTCGGAACGACAGCCAGCGGAACATATGAGATTCTAGTCTTCCGGAGCGGTGCGTATGATACCACGCGGCGCTATAGATGGGCTATCCCAGACCACATATCCGGGGAGAGGCCGCACAGCGGATACGAGTGGCTACTTGGGTTCCTATATAATGCAGTTGCAACTGGGCGATTCGGCGAGGTGTGTTCGTTCTAGGATGTGATTGCCTAAAAACCCCCGGTTTTGAGTAATATCACTGCTGCTATCATAGAGAGTAGAGTAGAGGTTAATATCGTATTGTATCGCATCCCTAAACGTAGACCAGGGCAAGAGCCGTAAGAAAACGGAGCAATGAGGCCTCGAGCTAGGGCGTTGGGGTTGCAGCCCCCGCTCGAGAGCCAAAGCATGGGTTCTTGGCTATACCTCTTCCCAACTGATCCAAAGAAGGAAACTCTGGACACCTCAGAGTGCGGTTCAATCGCCCCCGCTCTATGCACTATGTATGGCACTGGACGATACAACCTGCTAAAGAGAAAAGTACAATCCAATCATTAGATAGAAGATCCGATCCGGCCAAATGACCTGAAAATTAGCGGGAAAGGGGTTTGTCTGCTGTGTCTCGATGACGAGAATACACAAGTTATGTTCTATCATATGTGAATTGTGACCACCAAACGCATATTTTGGAAATCTAGAAGTCTTGATTCTCCGCTGACTGCGCCACTTATCTTTTTTCCGTTATTGTAAGCTCCCTCCGACTATAGGAAGAGGAAGTTCAGGAGAGCGAGAGATGTCGCGGGCACCAATGTATAAAGTTATTGGATTTGTCCTGTTTTGAGCCGAGCCGGAGGGTTTAATTTTGGGGAAAACTAATAACTTATGTCATACAGAGTGATTCAACTTGCCTGCGCCTGGCCCACTTCCAGGTCCAAAAATGTCACCATAACTTGATTTTGCTCCAACTTATATCCACAGGGGCTTACATAATCCTATATACCTTCCCCTCCGGTGGAATAAAGTTATGTGGCCACAAGCCTTGCTGACGCCTGACCAATCAACTCATCCACCACTGCTATGATACCGCCATGAATATTCGGAGGCAATACGGTAGGCTAAACCACTGCCGGGAGGGATATTCTCAAGAATGCTCTCCCAACTAACCCTCCTTTCCCTCCCTCCATTCCTTCACTTTTGTTTCTTTCCTTTTCCCTCTTTCTCTCTTTCTTTGTTCCTACCGTAGATCCCCTTCTCATGGTCGTCACGTGAGTAGCCATTTCCCTGCTTACTCTCTAACGCACACAACCCTGAATACACACTCACTATACGGAGTAAAGGTTAGGCAGTTTGCATCATGAGCTCAAACCGTTCACACTTCCGGAACGTACATTTTTATGATGCCGCCAACCCTGATCGTGATGTCCTGGGAGGACTCACCCAGAATGGGTCGGTCACGGAAGCAAATTTCCTCCATAAAATTTATGCTTGGCATACTCCTCATCACGGAAGCTCCAATACGGGTCCAGCACCGGACTTCGGGTCAGGATGTATCGATGGCCGACAGTTGTCTGCCAATCGGGACATACGATATCTATTGCGAAAGCACGTGCTCCGGCTAGAAGCCGGATGATAACTAACCCGATATTAGGTTCCATTCGAGTGAATGATGAACCATGGATACATCGAATCACCTCACACGATGTACCGAGCCAAGAGGATGCCTTTCGCGATGGGATTCGAACTCGAGGCGGGGGATGTGTTATCACGGGTACGGTAAATCTGAGTGCTCCATACGATCGGACCATGTTTGAAGCAGCGCATATATTTCCACCGGAAAAGGGGGATCTCTGGATCGAGTGGGGCTATGGGCAGTGGATTTCAGACATGGGGGATACCGCCGGTGTCTCGAAGATCAGCTCGTGTCAGAATGGGTTTCCCCCGCGAGCAGACACCCATAGAGGGTTCGGTCAATATCTTTTCTCGATCAATCCGGATGTGAGTCTATCAGCCATCATGTAGACTGTCGAGACGACTCACCAATGTCAGGACAACTACAAGGTCGTAGTGTTTACTACCGACTAATTAGGCATAGACGATAGAACATTGGGCCCCGTCTGCCGCGACCCGAAAGATCCCCATCGTGTGTCTGATGCGCTATTGCGCTGGCATTTTCGACAGTCTGTGCTTGCAAACATGCGAGGGGTTGGGGAGCCAGTATTTGAACACGACTTTCTACCGGGAACAGTTGTGGTGGGAGAAGTCCGGGCAGGGCGGTCTACGAAAGAAAGCTTGGAGGTGGAGGTGGCAGCTAGATTGAGAGGATCTGCCTGGCATGGTCAGCGGTAAAAAAATGTTGACTGCGGATATAAATTTATTCGGAGATGGGTCCTTATTCTATTTGTCCCCTGGAAATGAATGGTAGATCCCAATCTAACTTTATTGCACTAACCAAGCAAAAAGGCACCGCCGAACACCGGCATAGGCCCCTACAGCGCCACAGCAAGATAAGCTGCCGGGTCCCGCTGCCGGTATCCCTGGGTATCATATATCAGGACTAGCAAGGCCCCGCTTGGGACCTCAAGCGTCGGCGCTTGTTCCCTGTAGTTTTTTGCTGATGGCAGTGGCTTCACTCATTCAAGTGGTTCGCATTAAGCACTACCGTTCTTGCTTGCTCACCCCCCAGAGTTACAGTGTTTTTGGAAAACGATGGGGTCTACTCGCGGCATGAATGGCCGAAAGTCCAATATCACCTTCCAAACAGGACAGCAACCCTATCAGATGACCCAGACACATCACAATTTTACTCCATTCAAGGGTAGCATAAAACAATGTAGGTACCAAGGCCTCCCCCGAGATATGAATACCTCAAGCGCGGGTGTTTCCACACACCCAGACGTTTTTCAGGTAAATTCCCCCTTGCCTCTCCCTCCTTTCCAGCGCTTCACCCGTTATCCCGACCGTAATCTATATCTTATCATACCCAGCCATGCCCATACCGTACGGTACAAGCAAGAAAATTTAACACACGCTCGATCCGATCATTGACCGCACTCATCCACATCAGGGAATTAACAAACAAAGCCGCACCGGAGTGGAAGAGAGAGTATAAAAATAAAAAAAAGGGTACCAATCTCCAGGTCCCGAGTTGTCTTTACTACAAGTATAATAATATTATAATAGTTTGTATGGTATCGTACCAACATCTGAATAAATCTCCCTTCCCCCCCCCCCCCTCTCCCAAAAAAAAAAAGATATAGCACTCTGGGACGCACCCGAGCACAGTATTGTACGAACCTCCAGAACAACCGTGCAGATAGCCGCAACCCAATAAATCACTACAAGCCCAAAGTCAAATTTAATGAGAATTTTTTTTTTTTTTCATCCCTCCATTGCCATCCCAAAAGCCGCGATGGAAAACTCCATCCATATCTTGATTTCTACCCGTATATATTATACATTATGGTCCAGGACCAAAGTTAACGCAACTTCAACCCTTCAGGGCGCTGAGTGAGTTAGTTAGACGCGATTACAAGGTTCGCCTCAGCCTTCTTAGACTACTCCGAAGTGCTTCGCCCGGTACGGTAGTGTCACGATGGCGTGTGACTGTTCTGACTGGTATCGCATCGCATGGTACGGCAGCCGAGGCGGTACCGAGTAATAATTTTATGGGTATTAATGCCAGAGCATCATTTAATTCGTATGTACGAGTACAGTACATGCAAATTAGAAAGGGATTCTGAGCGTTCGCCTATTCTGATCCGGAAGCGCTTTCACAAAACCCTCCGATATCTTCTTGGCGCCCGAGCACCATACAGCTCGTCGCAATACAAAAAACGTGCCAAAAACTATGATACCACCGCATCACGCCCCACTTGTGCTTTCCAAAACCCGAACTCGCCTTGCAAAGAGCCTCACACCGGCAGTGGCTGTAACTCTAATCACTCAAAAGCAACGTAACCCAACTTGACCCATGACACCCGACTGGCCCGCACTCCCCCCCCCCCAACACCACCGTACGAGTACAGTACAGTACAGCGCATCCTCCCCATCACCCTCCCCCTGCACCTGAATCCCAAAAATGCAAACATTTCCAGTCAACTACCGTAACCTGTTATACTACAGTATCAGAGTCATTATCTGAACTGCAATCAGCGATTCCTGCGCCCTGCCGATACCTTTACCATGACAAGGATCAGGCATCGATTGCCTAACTTGGAGATACGGGTGATTCAGATATTAGCCGGGATAGAGCTCCCCCGCTTTCAACCAACTTATCTGCTCTGTTCGCTTCGGTTTTTCCCAAAAGTGCGGTCAAGTGCGAACCCAAGAGTACGGCCACAGGGGGCAGGGGGAGGATACCGCCCGTCGGACTAATGGGGAAGGCAGAATCCCTACTAGATCTGGGCGCTGTCCTACTTCCATTCCCGGAGGAGGAATAGAAGGCGAGAAAGGTGGCCCGCCGGGTTATACGGGTACAATATCACTGTACCGCACATACGTATGCCCATAAGTGAACCTAGTATGCAGCCTTAAATAGGCACGGCGCAATAGACGTGCCAGGTCTTTCGTGTTTCTCCACATTTCGCTTGGGAGCATTGAGCGGCCACTCTTCACGACGAAAACGGGGGTATCCCAAGAAGGGTCGCACAGGACGGCACCTGTAGGGGAAGGCCAGGGGAACCCACACCCCTATGGAGGGATTGAAAGGAGAAGAGGAATTAAATAAACCGAATCTAATCTAATCCCAATCGTCCTCGTCATCTTCAGCCTTGGCTTTGCCACTGCTGCCAGTCTTGATCCGAGATCCACCTTCATCTTCATCATCTTCATCCGTACTCCCCAGTCGTCGGTCGGTGCTTTTGACCGCATCTACCTGTACCAGCAGCCTCTCGATATCTGCAGAGCATGCATGTTGCTCGAAGTTAATACACAAAAAAACGTAGCCGTAGACAGAAGAATAGGGCGGGTACAGACCTTTCAACCGAGTATCCATCCCCCTCAACCTCCCCAGTCTCACAACCTGCTCCGCAATATCCTCATTCCTGTATACCAATATCGTAGGACAATTCGCATCGGGATACCCCTCAATGCACATACCAGCTGCGATCTCGCAAAACTTGACATCGGCAAACTTCTCCGCCGCTTGGCGCCAGAGCGCCGACAGTAGTCGTGACTCCGGGTTCGAGCTCGTCATATTCACAAGCACGGCGTATTCCTTCGAAGCCTCCGTCACGTCACGAGAATAGTCTGGCTTCTGCAAGTGATATACCCGGCCGTGCACCGATTTCTGAGATAGCGTGGAAAGCTCAGCGAGCCGTTTTTGCCTGACCCACCGCTGCCATAAGCATCATCGTCGACGGGACGCGTGTGCATGTTTGGATAAGGGAGAAAGGTTAGGTAGGAAGGATTGTGCTGTACGCAACGCACTTGTAAATGGCCAAAAACTCCTCATCCTCCTCGTCTTCCAGTTCATCCAACTCGTCTAGGTCTTTCCCCTCCAGTCGATTTTCGCGCGCCAGCTCTTGTGCGTGTAATATCGCCTCCTCGATCATGGGTGTCGGGGACGGTGGCTTTTCCGGGATAACGCCGTGCTTCCGGAGGATATCGTTCCTGTGATGTATTTAGCAGGGCAGGCTTCCCCAAGCAGAGGGAGATAGAATTCACCATTCCGTGTCGGCATTAGGGTCGTCTATCGGGACGTTCACTGGCATGTCCATCTTGTCGAAGTTGTTTGCTGTATGAATTGTTGGAAGGGTACCATAACTCGGACGTGGAGGGGTAGCTGTCGGTTTTGCCTTGGTGGGGCTCTTTTTGAGCCGCGTCACAGCTCAACGTCACCCCGTCATGCCACAACCAAAGCCCAGAATTTGAGCCGCATCCTTCTCCCCTTACCTCGACCGATTCACTCCAGGACACTTAATTCATCATATTCGAATACTCGCACCTGCTTGCAAGATATCAGCGGTGCCTCTCCTAGCAGTACACTTTGTGCGGTTCAAGTATAGAGCGTCTTGTCCTTCGAGAGGTCTGGTAGAGGGCTTTCGAAGATCCACTTTCCCAAGCACGATACCGCCCGTCCTTTCAGAAAAGCCTCGGGGGCGAATGATTATATACCGGAATTTGCGCAGGTATTTTATGCAGCATATTACAGGGAGCTGGGAGCTTACCACTGTAAAGTAATGTGTTTCGCCCCTCCATACTAATACACACTACTGCATAAACACTTCCATTTCGAAGGCCTTCCAACGGGTTCTTGATTACTCCTGCGGAGGTGGGGCACAGGTTTAAGTTTCTACGTTCGGGGGCTCTAAGCATTGGGGAGGGTGCTCCGGGAATGCAAGTTCCTACGCCCCTCCTACGTATGCTACTGCTGCTGTAGAAGTATCCGAGTCTTGTGGGCCTGTCAAGTGACTTTTAGCACGGCACCTTGCCACTATTTTTGGTGGCGGACTGTGACTGTGTTACGGGGTTTGGCATAAGGCATGGGAGCCGGGAGTAGATGGACCTAAAGCCGCTCCTACCGTGTTAGGATGCTAGTATACAATTGATAAGCCCTGTTATCTCGCCTGTAGCTTTCCGGGGGGTTCATCCAAGTATTATGAAACCCTTCTTCGATCTGTCATTAAGGGAACTGTGCGTTGCGGTACTGGTAATGTCTCCAGCACCAAGATGCCACTCTGGCCAAGAGCATTACACCATCGTACGATATCAACTTCATTCCACTCCTGGTAAACACCAAATAAACGTAATCACAGCCCGGGAAACCATCACCGATATTTCTCCCGGACTACACCCACAATTTAAAAAAAAAGCCCCACCACTCACAGTGGATCACCCGCATATGTTAATCTCCCAGCAAGAGGTTGAACCACCCTTCCCATCGAGAACCCCCTTCTTCTGTAATTTCGAACAGATTCCATCCGAGACAACCTCAGGGCATTTACTCCAGCCTAACCGCCCATCACTGTTACCCCATCCTCAACTCTAGGAGTTGCTTTACCCCAACACTTGAGGTATCCCGTATCGAAGAGCCACGTATTAATAGCGAAAAGTAAATGACAATACCAAGCTCCGACTTCAGCTCAGTGACACGAGATAGACACCGGCCTTATCTCAAACATCCCCTCCTAACCCCCCGTGCGTTCAAAGTCAGAAATTACCTCCACCATACTCCACGGCTAAACCTGTCCTCTGCTGTTCAATCCAATCAATCCATACCTCCACCGTGTGAACCTAGACCCCCCCACCCACCCATACCGGTATTCCTGCTCTCGATCCCCAAGGACAAGTGAGGATGTGACACTGGATGTATCACCAGTTCGCCACCCTCACACCCGGCATATCTTCCCCAGCAAAGCAAATTGGCGCATCCCGTAGCCCCCGGATCCACTAGACAGCCGGAGCACTAGAACAGCATGGTGCTTTAAACTCCTAGCCGCTACATCCTTGGCCACGAGCGATATATTGCGTGTCTGGCAATAAGCACCTGAAAATACCGCCACCGTCACACAACTATCCAACCAGTGAAAAAAGAGCTGTCTCATATTCAGATACTTTATGCCAGACACAAGCAAGCAGTGTAGAGTGGGTAACTTAGGCACGTAAACCCCCCCTCCCCCGAGACATTCGTAGGCACGTACGAGCGGAAAGTAAAAGCGGTGACAGCCTGCAACCATATCCACACCGAAAATACCGGCCGTCCAATAGATTGGGAGGGATCCTTACACACCATGATGGCTTGTAACGTTGGAGTAGGGATTGCGTCCGGCAGGTGAGTAGTAGTAGGGATCTAGATAGCTAGGTAGCTCTCTGCCCAACTACCTACTCACCCTCCCACCCACCCTCCACCGCTGGTGCCCCCCCAACCCTCACTCCCTGGGCTCCCACCGGCGTTAACGACAAGTAACCTTGAGTTGCTAGGCTATTGGATGCTCTGTCCATCCATCCAGCTGATATTTCCAGGTGTGTTGGGATGAACCACAATTCCGTATGATCCCCCTGTCATTCTCTCTGCTGATCCCGGAGAACGGGAAGACCTGGGGAAACAATCCAGAAATACAGCAGGTTCTCCGGAACCCAGTCAGCCTGGTTAAGTGGGAAATGAAGGGGGAGGATTGTGATCTAACCGTAGGATCTGGAGCTGAGATAACACCGTGTATGGGTGAGCAAGACGTTATCCGGTTTGCCATAGATGAGGGGTAGCAAGCCGGTTCGTGTCCCCCATGAAATCCCTCTCGCCTAGTAGCATATTCTCCTTTCCCATCATACCTCACCACCACCACCACCACCTCTTCATGCAGAATCCGGGAAATCATCGTGACCCTCAAGGGGGGTATTCTCCCAGAACCCAACCCTCTCCACTCCCCAGAGCAGACATGGCTAGCAAGCTATCACTATCCCATACCCTTCCCCCTTCCGCCCGACTACCCCCCAATACCATGACCAGAACTACCTCCGATTGATCTCTTGCAATGCTCATGGTGTATCCAGCTTCCTACGCATGAGCTTACAAATCACCCATAGGTAAGCCCCAGCCACACCACCACCAGCGGGGCAGAGCTGAGCTTACTTATGCTCCGGAGTCGGAATAATACCGGATTATCGGCAAGATTCCCCCACTTGGATATAAGAGCTTCTTCGCAATCTACCCAAATTCGCAACAAAACGACTTCATCAACCCCACGGCCAAAAACAGGCCTATTTTGCTCTCTCGTCCTAACTATCGGACGTTCACCTCAGCCCCTACCTCATTTCAACGTACCGGTGGCAGGCGAATCTTTCCAGGTAATGCGGTATCGGGTAGTCATCTAATATCACGTGCTCGTGCGGCCGAGTGAAGTCGGACACCTGCGGTAAGGTGGCAATTCACACAGTGCCAGTACCGATATGGTGAGATCCCTTGCAATTCGCGGTATCCGGCAGTCCTCTAATCACCGGATTCGGAGACGAGCTGCTGAGAAGGATTAGTGCTTCCTTGAAACGGTATATCCCGAGCCCTCTTGACGTGTTGTATCCCGTTTAGTGGTACTCGAGTACATATTCATTTCTATTTGTAATTCCGTTAACTTGTCGAACTATACCTATCATGGGCCGACGCGATTATTTCCGCCGATAATCCGATAGCTGACTCCATGAGAGCTTCGGGTAATAGTTCAAGGCGAGGTGGGCTCCGATGCATTGACGCCGGGGACCTGAAGTCGTGGGCTAGGGGCGCAGTGAGGGTTTTGTCGTCAGGTGTGGCGGATATCATAATACCGGTATTATGATATGATACAAGCACTCGCTGCCAATATGACACCATAAATGGCCAGGTCTCACAGACGGATGGACAGACGGGGAAACATCGGGATTTATAGCGACCCTTTCTTTATCCTCGGAAGTGCCCTTCAGTGCGGGGAGTCTTCAGCGGTCTATGCTCAAGATATTGCCGCACATCGCAGCGCACAACGCAGCTCAAGGCCTCCAATATACAGGAATAGCCGCCCACGCACCAAGCATAACCCGGGCAGAAGCAGCAGAAGAGTCATAAACCGCTGCACGCACTGTACAGTACGGTACTCGAACAGGTACCGTACGTTAAGCCCACCCGATACAAGTAGGATGATTCAAAATTCCGCAGATAGCTGGGCTCCTTCCCCCCCTTCCTTGAGAACACCATACCGATGGCTCGTTGTCGGTACCTGCCTACTACCCTACAAGGCAACCGCCACTACCTTACCAAAAAGTAATTTAGGACTCCACTCGCATTCCAGCACATCACAACCACATCACCAAACCCCACGAGAACAAGAACAAAAGGAAAAAAATCAAGAAGAAAAAAAAAAAGAAAACGAAAGGGGAATCTAGGACGCACCTTAACTCAACTTACCCCGTTATCAACCGCGCGTACGGGCCGTTTGGAAATGTGCCGGGATCGGGATCGGGGATCGGTCGGTGGGTTGTTTGGGAGTTTTTGGCTGCGCGATTGAGGAGTGTGTGGGAGAGGTGTTTGTTTGCTTGGTCGTAGGTTCGGGTTGGGTCGGTATGATATGACAGCTCTGTCCGGCTCGAGAGGGTAAGCCATCACACGTAAGTTTATGTACTCGAGTATGGGATTAGTCCCCGGGGTATCATATGACATGATACTAATGTAATTTTTTTTTCCTCCTCCTTGAATGACTCTCAGATAATGCCCCTACCGGTATCATACATATAAAACTTATTATTTAGACGCATCAAAGAGTACCGTACCGCGCTACGCACACACCAAAATTCACCAACCCCCCCACCTCCCCAGCAAGATATAATACCGGCAACCGGAAACCCGTAAGTTAGTCTACCATCCCCAGCCCAATACGCACAATACCGTACCCCACCATGCAAAATCCAGACGTTGCCCGAGCATCAGTACGCCACTCCTGCTTTCCGCCCGCTCGCCCACCCATAGTCTACCGAACCTTTCACAACTAAGTTAATGAACATACTCGAGTATGATTAATCCAACCCCCCAAAGCACACAGCACGAACAGTAGATGCCAGCCTCCCGAGGGGTTGAACTGAACTGAACGCCTCTACCGGTATTATTATTATTATTATAATCCACTCATATGTACCCCCCCCTCCCCAATCCCGCATTTCTCCCGCGCACTTCTCCTACTAAAGTGCGTATTATACTGTTTTTCCGGGGATAAATAGATAATATAAAACAGAACTCGAGGGGGTGGGAGAGTTGTCGGTCAAGGGGCATCACTCGCAAGGGGGGTTGGTGCTAAGTATTATATCTTGCGGCATCGCGGCGTGCTGTGGATTGATGGTACGGGACGGTACTAGTCTAGCGATGATGATGATATCGTAACGCTTTATCAAAAGGGTCAAAGATGAAAAAATCAAAACAACAAAATAACAAACAGCTCTATGGCGCTATGAAGCGATCATGGTATGGTAAAAAGTACTCGGTGAGTCATTAAGCGTGATTGGGTGGCTGTAAAAACACTACTGGTATTCACTTGTGGTTCATGGACCTATCGCCCACCAACCTTGCGGGACTGTGTGCTTCGTTGCTTGTATTACGGGGAACCTTGTTTTGTGGTGGAAATGATAATTCAAAAGGCCCAATACTGTAGCAATACACCACGGCACAATAGTAGTCACTAGCAATCGGGACTGAGATAATATCAAATCTAGCGAAATCCATCGGCATTCATTCTCATAATAATGGAGGCAGGCGAGGCCCGATTCCGTCATCGCGGATGTGGAAATCAGGTCTCGTCAGCAACCTAGCAGCTAATCCACCGCTCCCTCTTCACCAGCATCACCCCCTTCCCCCTCACCATACCTCCAATCAACCCTCAAACCGCAAGCGCAAGCCGATGATAGAAATAAAAGTATAGTGAAGAAAAAAATGAGCGCAAGCTAGCCAAGAAATCCTCCTCTCCTTCCCAGCCACCACCAACCCAGAAGCTGGGAGACAAGACAGAAAATGAAAGGCAAGAAAGAGACCACCCCGGAAGCTGCCCTTTCGTAGATCATCCCTTCGTCCCCTCAATCAGGCCCCATATCCCTCATCCCAAGAACCCAGCCACCCAATCATCCCGGAATCCCACAAGCCGTCCATTCCATCCTCCAACGACCCGCGAGTCTTAAAAGCACCTTCCGCCGCATGGCGCAGAAGAAGCCCCCAAGACTCTCTTCCTCCGGCCATCAAGGAAAAACGAAAGCAAGAATAGAAAAACAAGCACAGGAGATATAAAAGGGAAGAAACCCGAAAAGCACAAGCACCCAAGTTAAACCCCATTTTACAGGGATGAATCAACAAAAAAGCTTAAGAACGAAAAATTAGAGATCGTGGCGTTGACCTCAAAAACAAGAAAAGCTAAGAAAGGTATACAGGCAGCCCCTCCAATTCAGAAAAAGCCTCCTCAATCATGTGTGCATACATGCGTAAAACCGCAAAGGAAAAAAGGAAAAAACAAATCCATCCACCAACACCCATCCACCCCTCTCCCTTGGCCAGCCGTCCAGCTTACGCCGTCCAATTTAAGCAAAAAACAGAGGGGGACCTTGACCCATGTGAGCTCTCCTCCCCAGGCCGACCATTCCATATCGATCGATCCCTCTCGTGATATCCGTTTGCAACAATGACCGTTTTTGTAATACCGCAGGAACTGACTGTAAGAGATACTGATTTAAGATGAAAAATGCCACCGGCCCAAGAGAAATGCTGACCCTAATAAGATGCAACACAAACCCACGATGTATCTCGGACCAGATCCAACAGACTGCCTCCTTTATACAAACGAGTAGACCGATTGAAGAGGTGTCGGGGGTACGATCGCATGATGAAATAGGTGAAACGAACGCTGACAACCGGCTTGTTGATCGTAAATGCGCCTGGATATCCTGCCCATAATACCCATGCAAATCACACAAAGGTCCATCGGAAAAGGAAAAGAAAGCGGAGACAAAACTATGTAGCCTGAGGACAGAAAAAGAGCAAGAAGAAAAAATACAGCAAAAAGGTGAGATTGAAACAGTAACAAGAGAACTTAAGAAACCAACTCCACGATTAAGCCACCGCAAAGCAAGTTTCAAGCACACACGCACACATGACAGGGAAAAAGAATCGGAAACTCATTATACCCATCCATCAGCCCCTTGCAAACCAATTTCAAGTTCCCAGAGTTGTCACAAGTTTTTTTGTTTTTTTTAAGGAATCCAACGGTATCAGAGTTTCACTCAATACCACTGCTGTGCGCCACCACCGCTGGGCTGGTCCTCACGTTTGTTGACGCGATACCCACCAGTCTGAGGGGCGAAGCCGGGGCCGTTAGCAGCTTGAGCACCCTTGGATGCGGAACGAAGCCTTGAAACACCATTAGTCATGAGCAAAACATACATCCCTCAGATCAACTTACATCCTATCGGACCCACTAAGTCCGCGAGTGGTATCCATGGTGCCGGGAGTGTCAACTCCAGCCATGCCTCCACGTTCAACAACCTTCCTTCTGGATCCTCCGACGGCACCAGGCTTACTGGAAGTCTGGGGAGTGGGGTGCCCGGCAGTCGCAGCATTTGTACGGAGCGTTCCACGCTTGTTCAAGTCCTTGTCATCATCCTCGCCTGGACCTTGCTGTCCTCCGGCAGCCTGAGCTATAGCCTGGGCATTTTTTTGCTGCTAAAGAGTCAACATGGGAAAAGTTCCCCAATTCAATTAACCCACGTCCTTTTCCAATGAAACAGGGAGATCACTGGAACTCTTTATAGGATCAATGGATGGGTAAAGCTCACGTATTTGTAGACGGTCCAGTCGAAAACGTAATCGTACTGAAATCCCTCTCTCACAAAAAGATCCCTGAAGATCTTGCGCAGGTAGGAGTAGTCGGGCTTGTCATCAAACCTCAAGGAACGGGTGTAATTGAGATAGATGGCGAACTCGTTCGGGAATCCACGACAAAGAACCTCGGTGGGAGTAGTCATTTTTTTCTCCATAATTCTATCATATTTCTGCTTTTTAGTAGCAGCCTTCAGTCCTTGCCAAGGCAAAGAACCACGACAGAAGTAAAGCATTACATAGCCCAACGACTCCATATCATCGCGGCGAGATTGCTCTAAAGCGGTAATCAGCCTCTATTCTATAAGTGAACGTTGGGGTCAACTCACCGACACCCAAATGAGTATTTATCGAAGCATATCTTGCGGTACCGGTCAAATTTTTGTTTTCCCTGTATGGGATATGGAAATGTGTCTTCGGGTCACGATATTTTTTCGCAAGACCGAAATCGATCACATTTACTTGATTGCCACGCTTGCCAATGCCCATAAGGAAGTTATCTGGTTTAATATCCCTGTGAATAAAGGACTTGGCATGGATGTATTCGATACGGGAGATCTCGAAGGATGTCAGCAACCGACGTGAAGATATTGATCTAACTAGAAAACTTACTAGCTGGTCTGCAAGAAGCAGGACAGTCTTCAACGAGAACTTTCTGTTGCAGAAATTGAACAGATCCTCCAAACTGGGACCAAGTAAATCGAGCACCATGGCGTTGTAATCGCACTCTGTACCAAACCAACGAACAAAGGGGATACCAACACCCCCAGCCAAAGATTTGTAAACTCTAGCCTCGTATTCGAGCTGGGGATGCTTTGCCTTAACCGACTCAAGCTTGATAGCGATCTCTTCGCCGGAAATAATGTTGGTGCCTAAGACACAAACCTTGTCAGCCTCAGAGAGAAAAAAAAAACAAATTCGCAAAGAGAAAATCCGAAAACTTACCCAAGTAAATATCCCCAAAGCTTCCACTTCCAATCTTACGACCGATGCGATATTTATTCCCGACCCGTAAATCCTATGATCAAACAAATTGGGTTAGTAATCTTTGAATTTGCATCGGTCGCCATGTTGCCCTGCACGATTCATCCCTCGCTTTGTTCTATCCAAGAGAGAGTGCAAAGCAAAGGGTGGAAGTTCCGGAGAAAACTGCAAAAAAAAAATTAACCGAGCTGATGGGAGAGGAAGTTTACCATGGTCGTCATCTTGATTTATTGTTTTCGTTGGAATGTCCGCACGATCTTGTAATCGTGGTTTGTGCTGGTCTAGAATCAGGCGTCACGTCAGAGGACAGGTGCTCTCTGTAAAAGGAAAAAAAAAAAAAAAGGAGAGGACGAAGGCGAAGAATTAGGTGAGGAAGAGAAAGAGAAGGTGGCAAGATAGAGGACGAGGGGGAAATAAGGGGGAAAGGAAAGGGCACGTACAAGGTCTAAAGTTAAGAGCTGATATGACAGCCTCGCGTTGTTGAAGGTGCTTGAGGTGGTAGAGGTCGAAGAGGAAGAGAGACTGAGAGGTGATGGATGTGTGTTAGTCAGTATGCCTTCTTTCGGCTGCCCCGTTCCTTTGCACTTCGCACACCACCACCTCCTTTCTCCTCAGCCGAGCCAAGCCAAGAATAGACAACAGGTCTCGGACCAAAATTTGGGGGAAACTCCGACGGGAAAGAGAAGAGAGGTGGCAAGAATAATGTATGGCAGCCGGAGGTAGATTGGCTTCAAAAAAAAAAAAAACCTACCTTGAGGGTGGAAGATCGATCGTCGGTGGACAAGGTAATTAGACGAGAAAGACACCCGACCGACCGACGGAGAACAAGACTTCAGGAAACCGGATGACGCGGTTACGACGACAAAACTGATCGCTTGTTTCACGGTAAAGAGGGATTAAGTTGTGGCGTGGGAGTGGAAAAACAGTGGAACCAAGAGAGAGAGGAAAACAAAAAAAGGAGAAGAGCGAGCAAGCAGCAAGCGGGTGGGGTCTCTTCTCCAAGCCAGGTGTAGTGTGTGGTAAAAGAGGAGAGAGGGAGGGAGGTATCTCGATAGAAGAGAAAGAAGACAGCGGGTAACAGGCAGGGAAAATCAGCTAGGGCAAAGTTGTTGTCTGATGGGAAAGGGGGGGGGGGAGGGAGGGAATGGAGGAAAACCCAACTGCGATGCGGTGCTGGGTAAGAGGGGGTTCCTGGGTGCGCACGCCTCTCCCTCTTTCTCTCTGTAAGGCCAAAGAGAACTGTTGGAAACCTCAAGTTGGTTATTTTTGGCCTTCGCGGCTGATTGATCGGGACTGGATTGTGGCGGCTTGAGGCCTTGATTATCGATTTTTCGCCTCCCAGCGAGGAACCCACCTAAGCCCCTACCATGCCATCAAGAGACCCTTTTTTCTATTTTTCTTGGAGAAAACGACAATACTACGGTAAGCGGGCGGTGCGGCTTGGGCAACATGTTTTGTGAATCGAGAAATCCTATTCCACAGTAACCCCAGTAAAACAGCTACAGTATCGCCCTCGTGCATTGTATCATAACGTAACCAGTCCCAGCTACAAATGCCGGTGCAGATAAACAATTCCCCTCACCCTCCCACCCATACTTTTGTGCCCAATACGGTTCTCCAGCACCATAGAAAATCCGGGTACGGTATAAGGACAGAGAGTCTACAGCATCATTTCCTCTTCCGGTGATGTTGATGCCTGTCAAAATCAATCTGCTGCACATCATCACTTCCGTATCAGCTCTATATTCATTCTACTTATCCCCTCAAACCCCTTGATACGCCTTCTCAATGGTATTACTCCCTCCAATTCTATCATCACCGCCAATCCCTTTCGTCTACTCCAACACTATACCGTACATTGCGCTATCTACATTACCAATCTTCAACCGACATGAGAAAAAAATAAAATAAAAATTCCTTGCCCCGGAACAAGCAGACATATGGTACGGTGGTACGGTCGGTTCACACCTTTCTCTGCTGGTACGGTAGAACAGCTCACCTCGCATCAGAGCCCAGTAACCGCAAGTACCCAACTCTGCCACGCCTTCTCCGGCCCAACGACAAAACACTATGAAACCCATAACCCCGACAAGCCAACCAGCTTGCGAAACGGAATGGATAATTCCCCTGCCGATGACATTCGCAGGCTTCATCCATTCGGTCCACTAAAGTCTTCTCCTCCCATTTTCTTTTACTATCGCGGCAGCTTCTAGACCCTTTCCTTTCTTTTCATTCTGTTCTCCATTTTGCCAGCTCGGTCGAGTCGGGTTGGCCGACCGCCAACCACCCCTCAAACCCACAAATCCGAACAAATGCTGGCACCCTCTAACCTATTCCGGCTAAGCCCATATTTGTTGATCGAACCTCCAATGCTGATTCGGTTGACGCAGAGTGCCTGCGGGTACTCGGGTGTCGGGATTGTGCTTGTACGTCAGGTCACTGCCGCAAGACACAAAAGTCAACATCTCGCGCTCCCGGTATTTGTACTCGAGTATAGGTCACCAAGGTAACACCATTCTTGTAAACAAAAAGCACTTCAATTCGCAAGCCAGATTACTATGCGTTAGAATCCCCACCAGCGAAATTCGTCATGCCGAAAAGTCAGCAGTCAGGCCGCGATAGGGCTTACTGAGGGGATATACCTTCTTGGTGTTGACTTCTTCTCCCCCGCTGCTTGTATCACGCACACAGCAAAGGTTTTTGTACCTCCTCCTCCACCTTACAAGTACTATGCACTTGCGCACAGCAACCCCCTACCGGTACTGCCCATAATTCAAATGGCGCTCTTCCCACTCACCCGCTGCCCTCACCAGTATTCAATATCAGTGCCGGCACATCTTTAATCTACCGGTACGGCAGTATCGCAGTGACATTGCAGAGATCGAAGTGTCAAGCCCCTGCCGTGACCGCAGCCACACACCGAAAGCACCCGTGGGTACCTGAATGCTCGAGTACCGGGCTGTGCGCCGGGGCAGTGGCTGCTTCAGGTGACGCCTTTGGATACCGTATCCATGAAAACCGTATCCTGGTGAGCGGAATCCTAAGGTTAGCGTCATCAATGCAGAGAGCCCCATATCCCCCTTGCTGCACGGAATAGGTCCCGCTACCACTCTTCGCGGAGAGACGGCGAGCTGGACAATGACAAAACGAAGCTTAGCATTACTATTTACAGTATAATCGTCCATGAATTATTGGAACGCAGGAAGAAAGGGGAAAAAAAAGCAAAACAAGGACCCCAAGACGAGACCTAAATGAGGTACTTATACCGGTAGCTACCGCAATAGCACCAGACCACGGTGCCATATGCGCGCGGTTCTCGCATGATCTGTTTGTACTCGTACTCTCTTCTCATCTCTGTTTTCTATCGGTCGATTTACCGACCGCCCCCGGCTTCCCGCACAGGTCTTTTATCTAGGGCTCCGCCTACGGTCTTCCATCAATACTAATTCGTTGGTCCAAAATTGTGAGATCTTGAGGCCGACCAATGTGCAACAGCCGCGTGACTCCCAAAGCCTTGAACCCTGTAGTACCGGTTGTCGCTCTAGGCCCTAAGGCCTGGCCCAATTCAGCCATGCGGCCCCCGCCGAATGTATAAAACAACAATGACCACGCGATAGCGAGCATCCACCCAAACACCAGCCACTATTCAAGTCTCAACTGAGGCTCAACCAATTATTTTGTCCAAACTCGCAGGTTGCTCGCTTTGCCGGGCGCCTGCCGTGGCGTGGAATGCGTGAACCCTAATTGATTTTTCTTCTCCCCTACAGCCAGCATCGCACCGTAAAATTTACCGTATCATACCCGAGTACGGTCACCCAAAGAGGGCTGGGAAAAAAACCCATCCATCAGGCAACCGACCAAAACGGTCAAGCTAATCAGCCGCCATTCTAGAAGCCACGTTCGCACCGCTGACGCTGCACTGCGCAATACACTGTCATACAGTACGAGTACATGTAGTAATCTTCCTCCAAGCTCGGTACTCTGGAGTACGGTACGAGCAGAGCGCTCTCCTCGCAGCACGTGGGATGAGCACGCATCAAGCGTTGATGGCAGGTGTCTTTTCCTTCCTTTCCGCAACAATCTAGATTCGGCCAATCCGTTTACCGGTGCGGTGTTCTGTTCGTGGTTTTTGTCCTTCCCTCCTTCCTTCTCGCCTTCGTCACAACCTTCCTGCCCCTAAAATGTATTTTTTTTACCACATCATAGCTTTTCAGCCACACCCCTTCCCGGATAATTGTTCTTCCGTACCTCCCTTGCTGCCGCCACCGCACTGACCAGTCGAGCTCGGCGTAGGTGGGTCACATAGTGCACCGTGAACGATAGTGCCCCTTGCAGTCTGCATAGATACCGTATTTGCCCCCTCCCCCCTCGTTTGAATTGTGCTCTCATGATGGAATGGACCTCTTTGCGGACGCATGGGGGAATATCTCGACCTTGTTCTGGGATCTTGTGGGGGTGGGAATACCGGTCCACCACCCACCAACCAACCGGAACAGAGATACCAAGAGCCCACTCTCTCCCGCTAGCCCTTTAAACTATGGTATCCGCCAGTTATGGGTGAGATGTGTCGGCCGCGATGTAGCTCTGGAGGAAGCTATTATACCAGCGTTGTTGAATGACGAGTGATGAATCATGAGAAAGAAGAAGGCCGAAACTCGGAAATGCGCCGCCACCGCATGGTGAAAGGGCACAGGGGCCACCAACAAGAAGAGGTAAGTTTTTTTTTCCCTTCCCATCTCGAGGATGAGACCAGCGGAGTATGATGCTCGAGTACCATACCGGACGGTGGAGGAAGAATCGAAGGGTAAAAAAGCGGGGGATCTTCCACTATTTAAGCAAGCAACAACCGCAATTGCACACACAGATACATACACACACACACACACATACATACAAACAAACAAACAAACAAACCATAGCCTGCAATCACCATAACCGTGGAAAACCCGCAAAACCCGCCCCCAACGATCCCCGTAACCCACTAGAAATATCGGGTACGGTACGCCAGCTGCCACAGCATTGGCTACCACCGGAGTGCTCCAGCTATCATAATTTACTTATGGGGGGACGCGTACATTGGGTGTTGAGTGCGGTGCTCAAAGCCGTTCTCTTTCTATCCGCAGTCCTTGTCGATAGCAGCGCCCCTTCTCGGCCCCCTGCGAGATCTCCTGCGGTACCGTATTATATTATGCGGGCAACCACCTGTAGACCCCCGTATTCGGTCACTCTAAATCACTCGATGCAGACACCTTGGAACGGTGTTTCTGAAAGGATTCCTGATGACCGACAAAGTGTCCCATATCTGGCGGCATGAGTCCTTTGCTGCACACTTGTGTGCTAAATCCCGAGAAAGTTTCCTAGATTTGGGCTAAGCGTGATCGAGGAGCCGCGCATAGAGTAACGCTTTCACAGCATTATGGTGGGTGGAGAAGTGTTAGGTTATACAAGCCTCTGATGGCTCTCCCGAACGGTGCATACGTGCCCCCCGAACCCGCGCAATGAAGCAGGGGTAGACTTACACAAACACCTGGTCAATGAGTAATTTCGAGTGGTCTCATAAGTTACCACTCCCATTGTTGCGCTGACGTTGAAGAATTTCATTGGTGAAACCCTCGGAATAAGGTTTACTGTCCTTCGAAATCATTTCATTCATTCATTCAAGCCGATCACTGGAGCGAACCATATCTACACCCGGAAGACCAAAAGCAAACGGAACATCAACATTACACATGACGGCTTGTAGCCTATCATCATGTTTCCCATGTGCCATACCATCCTACCGGATCTCGAAAGTGCGAAAGAAAAAAAATAAAAAGAAGAATACACATGTGCAGGTAATATATACATAGAAGTTTTCCCCGATTCTTTATAACTTTACCTTTAAAAGAGTAGCATAGTGCCAGCAATCGCTCCCAACCCCGCAACAACTCCCATCCACAGACCTCCGACAGCCAACCCAGCCATTCCTTCTGCAGCAGCACCCTGGTCGCTTTCGTCTGCACTCGCGCTTGATGAGGGAGCTGGCGCACCTGATTCACCGGGGAGGTTATAGTCCTTCCGGTTCTGAGGCACAAACTGACTACTAGCGCCATTAGTCCCTTTCGGCTTACCAGCACCATTGTCCTAACAGGCATCAGCGGTACTCGTTGAGAGAGGAGGAATGAGAGACAACAACCATATAGATAGACGCTGCACTGGGAAGATCAGGCAGGGTATTAGAGGCTTCCCACAAAGAGGTCCTCTCCGGGCAGTCGCTTGGGGGCAGATTTTTCTGGTAGCCACCATCTCCGGGCGGATTGTTGGTAGACGAATATTGCCTCTTAAGGCTATCGTAATCGGCCAATGTGGTAACGTTGTCACTATCAATCTGAACGAGACCGTAATTGTTGGGCTCCTGGGTGAATTCGTAGACAAGGCCACCGGAGAATACGCCAGTCATCTGAGTGCTGTACAGAGCTTTAACCTCGTTAAATGTGCGGGGTTTGACATCGATACATCCAAACTCCGATAGAAAGAGTGGAATAGAGTAGCCGGTGTAATTTTCAACCTAGGTTACTACTGAGCAAAATCCTTCTTTCAGTCAAACAATCGATTACCTTCTTATCCCATCCAGATTGGACAAAGCTGGAGGGCCCACACCAGGAATAGTCGTTGAACTACATCCCTGTTAGGCGTTTCCTCAATGTTGCTAGAGGGAAAAAACTCTTACCGCAAAGAAATCAGACCTGGCACTGTCTGGTCCACAGTTCAGATAATGCGCCATCTCCCTCCGGTTTTCCGCAACATCTGCAGCACTATATCCAACCGGAATTGGCCTATCTGAATGCTTTGAAATGTATTTCCTCATATCTCGGATGAGCGCTTTGACAACGGCTGCAGCACGAGTACTATTCGCTGCGTTAATCACCTCGTTGGCGGCAAAAAAACCGAGAGTGTTGGTATATTTGGAGAACACATCAACGGTAGCGAAGACATGCTGAAGGTATACTTCATTGTACGAAGCTACTGGAAAATCGCGGCTGATGGAAAATCTGGGTGTATTGACATCCTGAAGTCTGTTAATTGTGATTTAGACCTTATGGGAAAACTGGCGTTTAACCCACCAAGATGAGGTAGATTCCAGCCTCGGACAAGAGATCCATGCATTCATCATGATTGGCGGAATTGTCGCTAGTGTCTAAATCTAGCCTTAGCAAAACAAGCAAACTCTCATCAGGGGAGAATTAATTGAACACTTGGAAAAAGCACTTACAAACGCGGATTGTGTTCAATCCCAAGTCCTTCATGTAAGTTATGTCCCGCTTGCAAACAGTGATGTTCGAAAGTGGATCAGCTAGGTTGGAAGAACCGCCGGGCTGGTAGTCTACACCACGGATGTAAAACTAGTTCGATTGGGGTGACATTAGAACCGGTGGTGAGATTCTCAGAGGGTATGGACTCCTAAGGGCTAGCTAGGCAACTTACCCGTTTATCTCCAACGAAAAAGGCATTTCCTTTAACGGTAACCGGCTCGGTGATTTTGGAAGATACAATTCCAGAAAATAGCAAGCCGACCGTAGCTGCGAGAGTAGCCATAAATCCTTTCATGATAAATTCGTAACGAATCAAAAAGTAGATTGAGCCGTCACCGAGTGCAACGAGTGTGTAGATATATGCGTGTGTGTGTGTGTGGAGGTTGGTGAGCGAAAGTGAGATGGCTCCGGAACGAGTGAGGAGCTATCGTAGGATCGTGAGAATCAAACGAAGGTACCAAAAACAATTCTTACCCGAGGGCGAGAAGGAGGGAGGCGGGGAAGAAGGAAATCTGAAGAGGGGGAAAACGGGAGCAAGGGGAAGAGGAAGGGGAAAATGAATCTATCCGAGCGAGGATCTGCGACTAAGAGATCGGCAACAGGTTGCGAGTCTTTATGGAGGCACGACCTCCGTCCGTCACCACACACGCACGCATGCTAAACCTGACGAATGGTTTCCAAGGCAAAGTCTCGGAAGTCAGCCTCAAACGATTTTCCCCATCCTATGACCAGTCGACGGACAAAAGCCAACAGAAACATCGACTGCTCGAGTACCCGAGTACAAAGCCCGTTTCAGCGTCATCCCGTATCAGGGCCGCCACACAGATAGACCACCGCAGACCACAATTGACCAATTTGTATGGTGAATACCTCTTTGGTGGGCAGCTTCAACGGGAATTCAGTGCCAGGATCCCGTCGACATATCAGACACCCATACCAAACCCCATTGAGAAACTACAATGTCGTCATATTTCTATTCTTATGATACCTGAGCAGAGTTCCCGCTCGCCCAAGTCCCGACAACGCAAGAGACATCTCCTAGTATCATATCATAGGGCTCCCTTGGTTGCCAGGTCGGTTACCGGTACGAGTACCCTATATCGAAGGAGAGGCGCGGCAACTTCCAGATCGCCGCGTCTCGGGATACCTGGCGAATCAATACTCCGTCCTCGCTTCCGAACCTTTTTTCCTAAACCCTTCACTACACAAGCGCCGCGTTACAACAGGTAAATAGACGATGCAAGGAGGGTTTGGAAGACTACAAACCTTATTGGCTTGTCCACAGATTGTCACTCAATAATTGAGGCTTTTTCGTGCTGTCGCTGTCCTTCACGACGGACGAACAGTGCCCAATCTTGTGCCGGATTACTGTTTCATCCCAGTGCTTTTCCCGCATTCCCCTTCTGTATACTTGTACAGGGGGACAGGGCGTTCCCTAGTGAAGCCGAAATATGGAGCCATCATACATGATAGAGAGTAACTCCGCTGAAGTATCATACGCTTCTCGCACTTGCTCACGGGGTACTAGAAATATTGATTGTCTGGAGGTGCTCACAAGAGCCACGAAACCTGAGCTCTTCAAAGGCGTACAGTACTACCCCACAGATTGTTCCGTATGCTGGGAGAGAAAAATTAATAATAATTCATACATGTGCTTTTAACAGCAGGATGTCTCACCCCGATACCATGAGTGCCCCATCAGCTCTGCTGTGATCCCTCATGCGCTCCAGGAACGGGACGGCAGTTAAAGGCTTGCAGCTATGGCTCAACAGCGGACCGTTTTAAAAATTTGATTAGGTAAGAGATGGCCCGCAACGCTAAGTTTGCAGAAGGCACTCGAGTAGACTACCGTACCATATCACCGGCCTACCCCTAAATCGACTACCGGTACAGTCTTGTCCTTGGTGGGCTTTCGTAGAGGGATAATACTCATAGGTTATTGGGCGGAGGTGTTGAGCCACCGAAGCACTCATGAAACTTTACCAATAGTCCAATTTGAGCTGGGTGGGGTTCCTCAGGCGAGTCCGCCAAGTGGCGCTCTCACTAGTACGAGTACTCGAGTAGCGAAAAACGCGACCTAGTCAGTGGAGCGGATCGTCGCATACTGGTATGTTACCGGCACGGAATATCAGCACTGCCGCCAACCTTTGTCCTTTCTACCCCATTAAATTATTCTCCATTCCAATCTCTGACCCTCAATGGACCCTCCGGCGGGTTATATTAGTATGCACCATCCCGGATGAGCTATCGACCGAGTTGCTATCTTATCACAAGTAAGGAAAGTTTCCTTCCGGGAATAGCTCCGTTTCAAAGAGAGCCCAAAGCCCGGGTGCAGTATTCTACTATTATCTTGAATCATAGGTTTTCACTATTAATTATATATGGAAAAAGTAGCAATTGTGTCCAACCCAACAAACTCCAATATTGGGCTTTTTATCTACCGGTTGAGGCCTCTTTATAGAGTCCGCCACTCGACTGGTATCCTTCGGTGGTAGGGTTCCGGCCGTGATACCGGTGCGTGAAGCCCTTTTACAAGTATCACTACCGCTACAGCATTCTGTGGCCCTATAGAGACGGCCTCCAAGTGCTATAGGTGCGCACATATGGTCCAGGAGCAAGTCCTCGCTAAACAATTTCCCGCCTCGGGAGCGGGTGGTATTAATATTGGGCATTTTCATGCGATATCACTCCTTCTGCATAACGAACTATACTACGAGACCAAACACCGAGTAGTATCCTACGTTGATATATAACATATCAGTTCACGGTAAGAAATAACCGTACCACCACCGACTCAACACCATAAAAGCTTGGTAGATCCGCGAGCCGAAATCTCAATCACACCACTTCACCAAACTACAACAGGCTTAGCAGAGTAGGTTAAGGAAATAACAAATACCAGTTAATGAGATCCAGCCAACTTAGCCACGCCAAGTTATACCTTGTCTGGGAAACACCATACTTGCTAGGGATGTTTTGCCCCGGATTGCAAAGGCCACAGGTACGATAGTCAATAGTGGAACAAACAGATTTTTACAGAACTTGATTTCGTGTCAAACTTATAATACTTTTATTACCAACCATGGGCGATGCGAATGTTAACCATCTAGTAACTATGAATCTTCCCCCCCTCCCAACCTCCCCTTGGTTAATAATAAATACATAAGGTATCATAACAAAATTATTGCTTCTTTACTTTCGTATCATCCTGATAGGCAGTGGGCCTATTCGACAACCTCATTTCCATATGAGCTAGCTCGACGAGAATTCTTGATTCCAGTCTTGATTCCGCGGCGGAAACTTCCAACTTAACGTTTTCTTGTACCCGCTTCTCGAGGTTACCATCAGTGTAAGCGAACTTAAGAATCACCTAGTAGATGCTATAGTAAAACAAAATTAGGTGATTTGTTGCAAACAAAACATACTGTTGTGACAAACATTCCGACCAAGAACTTGATCCAACCATCATGACAGCTAAATCCGTCATCCATCTTCTGGGCGAGCGAGTTCAAGTTCTTCGAGAGAAGAATTAGTGTAGGTGCGGACAAATAAGATTTTTTTACCTTTGGGAGGTCCATGATTCTCTTATTAAGAGTATCTACCCCATCCGCAAGCCTGTTCTTGCTCTTGGTCTCAGCAGCCCCAACCCCAGAAGTCTTGGTCTTGGTAGTCTCAGTGGCCTCAGCCCAGATTTCCTTGGGTTGATTCGTTGAGACGGCAGGATGGTTGTTTGCCTATGGTAAGCCAAAATATTATCTTAGTAAGTTGACAACAATAGCTTACGGTGTGGGTAACTTACGAGATCAGTGTTCGCAAGCGGCTAGTCTGGCCAGGCTTGAGGTCCAGGGCGGCCGGCCTGGGCTCCTTTAGTGACCGGCCGGGCCGGACTATAGGTCATAGTCCGGCTTTACTGGCCTATCTGACCGGGCCTGGCCGGACTGTAGATATCTGCAGGCTTTCAGATATCTGTGGGCATCTTCAGATATCGGCGGTGCACGGACGCAATATTTACTTGTCAGGTGGCATATGCCAAAAGCCTACCGGTGCCCCCAGGCATCCATGTAGCATAGGCTTCACCAAAGCCTGGCCTACAAAGCCCAGGTCAGTTTCACTTTGACCTGGCCGCCTGCGAACGGTGTACGAGATTGGATGCAAACAGGTGATTTACCGCGATCCGCTGCCCTAGGGGGGACCGGACACGCAAGCCGGCAAGGGGATGTCTAAACATGATAGGTTGTAGTGTGATCGAAAAGAAAAAAACTTGTAGTGTCTGGGGAAAGAGGGGTTGAGGTTCAAACCCGTTGAAAGGAACTCTTAAATGGATGTTTGATAAAGCTGTGGTTACCCTACTACTAACAAGGTTCAACCGAGATTTCGCTGACAGTGCACAGCGTAAACAGCACCTAAGCAGCAAATTATGCTTATTCATCCTGAGAGCCTC